CATTAGATGGTACACCTGGTCAGAAGTTTGTTAATAAAGTATGAACAAATTCGGGTACAAAAATATTGATAAATTCCTGATTTGTGCATGAAACTCATACATACAGTTTACACACAGTGCATATACTTATGCACTGTGTGTCTCTTAGTGAATAAGACCCAGTTTCTCCATTCTGTTAGAATACATCAGCTAGAACTATTTAAATGAATGTGTACACAGCCCAGTTGCTTCCCTGAAATAAGTGACTGTCTACTTTGTCCTACATTCAAGCAATCTTGACGATCAAAAAGACAGGCCTTTTGAAAAAGCACAAAATGTGCATGTGAGGCTGACCTAGAACCAGCAGCACTATTTTTAGGTGGTTATAATAAGCTCTGGATTCTCGATCTAGAGCTCTGCAATACAGTACGAGACCATATGATGCACCGACATACAGTAATTTTGTTTATTGGCTTAATTTTTTTAAATATATTTTTAAAATATACTTATTCACTGTCTTTTCATTAGTCTATTAAAAGTTTACTACTACTGGAGATGGTTTGTTTTGTTTAGCTTAGCATAAAACATGGAATGGGGAAGCAGCTCCCCCAGGGTTTTTTTTTTTCTTTTTCTTTTGTTTAAAGAGAGAGGTAAAAATATCAGTCATCACCACTAAATCTCTCAAATGAAGACATTATATCTATGCCTTTATGTAATGATGCTTTAGAAAGGATAAGTTGTGTTTTTAAAGAGCGTTATTTCTTGGCAAGGAGCATTGACTTTGTCAAATCTTGTCATCATTGTCAAGTTGCCAAGCAACCACTGACAATCTTTGTGACTGCTGTGAGAATACAAGAATAATAAGCCTGTTACTGAACAAAAACTGGCTAGGATTGGTATCGACTAAACACCTGCTCTCTCACAGTTTGCTGCCTGTTGTTTTTTTTTCTTTGTCATTATTGTGTCGTGTCTAAATACTGTATTGTCAGAGGGTTTGCTCGAAGGCTACGTATGTCCTTCACCTTTTACAAACAGTTCTATGCAGCTGTCATTAAAACAAATATAATCTACAGCAATTCAAATGAACTTGGATTAAATGAATACCATGTCAAAGTGTTTCATATTTGGTATTCAAATAGTCAGTGGAAGATCCCTATCAACAAACAGCACTAACCCCTGCACCAAACTTAAATTGCCTTCATCTATGCACCACTGAGCATGTTAACCCTTTAAGCATTGAGTAAAAGCCAAAAAAACACGACCCTTTTTCCCCCCCTCACAGTAATTTCTTCGTTATAGACACTGAGTTTCTGTGTGCTTGAATAATATGACTGACCTGACTCATAGTCCTCTTCCTGCTGTATATGAGTGCGTGCCTCTGAGTGATATAATGATACTTGCAAGAAATTTTAAAAGGAATTAGCCACCAGATTTCTCAGATTTCTTAAGTGAAATATGTCAAGATTTATGCAACTCCTTTAAAATAATTTAAACCTGAATTATGCACTGAGTTTTTGCTTCTCCTACATTTTTACATAGTCTGCTTTAAAAATTATGTCCAGCCCTGTTTACTTAACCGACTTAAAATCTTGGTCATCTCTTCTAATTTTGACAGTAAAGAATGATGTCCCATAATTTATTTCTACTTTAAGCTTGCAAAGACACAGATACTGATGAAAAATCTCAAGCAATTACTGAATTTCTTTTTCAGGATAAACAATGTGGAGAATTGAATTTATAAACATCAACCCTCTCAATGAATATGAAACACAATATAACAATTCTTGCTATGTTATATGTCTGTCATAGTTAAAATAATCTGTATAGTTCTAAAAATGTGGTAGTCTGATTCATGCTACAGCTTAATAATATGATTCAAACAGCTTTGATAGTGTGGAGGCATAACTGGGTCAGAATCAGTAGTGTCTATGACATATATAGAGTCCTTAATCTTTAGTCTGCAGCAACTGTGTGTAGACAAACAGTCGACACTTTGCTGTGTCCCAGTAACAGACTCTGGGGATTAGCAGTCTGCTCTAGATAGATGAGCCAGGCTGTGTGTTTTACTGGATCTTGCTAAGTGCTAATGCAAACTTCTGAGCTCACCATGAGATAAAGTGCTATGTAACTATTTATAGCATTTTGGACATTAAACATAATTTAATTAATTACTTCTAAAGGCAAAAAAAAAAAAGATTTTAGTTTTAATGATTGTGAATGAACTAAATGAAAAGCCAGATGATAGCTGGTTATTGGAAGGTATGTGCCATAATTGGCCTACCTTACCAAACCAGTTTCTACATTTACATATTTTCCATTTAACAATACTTCCGGATTGTAGTGAGATGCCTTACCTTTCAGCTTTGAGTTATCTGACTGGCTTTACCTGTAGTCATACAAAAACAAACAAGAGTGTTTGTTGGTTATGTCCTTAAGCATTTGAACATATTGGACATAGTCCTGTATTTTCAGAGGCTAGAAACTCATTTAACAAACAATTTTAAGTACAACTTGTTTTTAAACCTTGGATGGAAGTCCTTTGCAGTCAATGAAATTATGCTTTTTCCTGCCTTGAGGTGCTTGACTAAGCTCTGACTTCAGCAACCTCAAGTTTCTGTTTGAGCCTTTGTGCCGTAAAGTTTGTCTTCAGTAACCGAAAATGATTCTCTGCTGGACTGGATTGTGATCATGTGACTGACTTGGGCAGACTGGCTTGAACCTTTTTTTTTTCATTTTAGTTTTTCATCTTGAGAAACCCTTGGGTTTCTTTTGCAGTAAACATAGCATAACCCTCTATCACCATCTTTTTCAAAACTGTGCAGACTCTTTAAGTTTTTTCTTCTTTTTTTAGAAGTTTAATCTGGTCTTCCTATTTTTTTTTGTGTAACCGGTCGCTTGCACCTTGCTATAAATGTCATTACATTTATCTCTTGAGTTATTATAGAGTTGAAAATAGTGCATCTCTAAAAGAACACTCCTTGAGAATGTTCCTGACTTGGGTAGTTGATGTGAAGTTCTTTTTCTTAATCAAGAAAATAAGTGTGTCTTGAATTTTCAGCCTTTTGATGGCCTTCCTCACTTGCATCGATTTCCTAGACTGAAAGTTCCGGTGAACAGGAACCAAATGCAAGCTGAACACTTTGAAACTCTTATGTGCTTGATTTAATAATGAAAAAACAGGCTTCACGTTTCCATGAAACTTTAAGTTAATTGTCCAACTACTTTTATACTGTAAAAAATGAAAGACTGTTTATAAAACTCTGTAACTGTTACCTCAGTATTTATTTATTTTTGTTAAACTCTGAATTAAAGTTGAAAGTCTTCTTTCACACCTGTCTTGCTTGGTCTACAGTCTACTGTGTAAAGACTCAAAATAGCAAAAAATTGTTTGGTTGTCTTGTGACTTATGGACGTAACTGTATTGATCAGTCGCAACATTGAAATCACCTCTTTGGGAGCATGGTCTTTTGAGGGTGTCCTGTGAGTTCTGGCAGCATAACCTTGGGATCCTGTGTGTTGTGGGCATATTCTGATGCATGCAGCAGTCATTTGGTAAGAATGCCTTGTGCTCTGCCATGTTCCTGAGCAGTTTTTATGGTGTGTATTATCTGCTTTAGAAGGCAGCTGCCACTGGGGAGTGCTGTTGCCATAGGAGAAGAAATGAGTACAGGTTAGGTGGTGGGGCTGAAGATGAGTTCAGGGTGATTTGGATGAAGGATAGAAGTAGAAGGCAAGGTCTACAAGATGGTGGTGACAATTGCTGTGACAGTGACACTAACAAAAAGACTAGAAGCAAAGCCGAAAATGCTAAGATTTCTGTTGGGAGTGACCAGGATGACTCAAGTTGAGTGGTTTGGAGACAAAGTTAGAGGGGCAATGTTGAGATGGTTTGGACATTCACAGAAGTTTAGTGGATATATTCAATGAACTGATGCTGAATATGAGCTGCCAGGCAGCAGGGAAACCACAGAGGAGATTCAGAGAGTGTAGTGAGGAAGGACAAGCAGAGGGTTGGTGTGACTGAAGAGGATGCTAGGGATGGGGTAAGATGAAGGCAGATGATCTTCTATGACAGCCTAAAGAAGATGATTCATTCAATTTAGTTCCACTTGACATTTTCCTCTGTGCTCTTGCTTTCAGTGTCTTTGTGCCGCTTCTTGTCATCACTGAAACAGAATGACAGCTTTAATGACAACTCTACATTGTTGATGTATATGGTCCCATCTGTCTTACGTTGTGTGAAACTAACATTCAAATACTAATGTGTCCTTGGGTATGATGCAAACAAACTATAAACACACTATAAAACAATACTGGTCAGTGTATGTCTCTCATATTAAAACCCTTAAAACTTTGATATACTCTTTGCTTTAGGTCAACATGTCTGCAATCACTGGATAGTGTTATACCTTAGCGTTTACATTGAACAGTACAACATATTGAAACTCGGTTAGTGTATGTAAGAGATTAGTTTATTGTTTTAAAGCTCCCTCTTGTGGTGGAAAATGTGAAGAACACTTTTTTGTAGCAAATGTGAAATACATTTTGGGGTCACTAGATAAAATGTTCCACAAAAGTGTACTTTTATATTATTTATTTCATATTTGTCATTTATGTATTCCTTCTGGAGGTTTGTACAGAATTAGCTGTATATAGATTTAGATGTAGGTAGTAGGCATTTGTTGGATTGCTTAATCTATGTGTTTGTGCTATCTCTTATAGTTTTGGATTTCCTTAAAATAGGTGGGTTATGTGTGTGTATGTGAGGGGGGTTATAAAAGATAACAGTTGGTAAAGCGCCTGAAGAGGGATACTGTTTTTCTGACTCCCAGCAGGACAAGAGGCTGACAGGGAGAAGTGGCAGTGGCAATTGATGTGATGAACACATTCTATTTATAACCACTGTTCAGCAGCTGCCACTCTCTTCGGTCTCCTCTTACATTACCCCCTCCACTCCTCAGGCCACAGCTTAACTGTGCTGTGCTCACTGTGACCCCGCCCTCGAGGTTGCCCACCCTCTTTCTCAGGGCTAGTGAGTGTGCTCTTACAAGACCCAGGTTTTACTCTGCCTTGGCCCTGGCTGCACTGCTTCAGTGACAGAGTGAAGATTGGAAGGTTAACCAGACCCAGAGAAAAGGTAATGGGCTCATGTCTCTGGCGGACTGTGTGTGTGGCAAGTAGTGTGATCAGCTCAGAGTGTACATGCTCTGCTTAGCAGTTCTATTAGGGGTCTGATGGCATCTCAGAATGGCCTCCTTTGCTGTTGAAACTATTTATAGGAGTGGACTGATGAAATCAGGGACAGAGATAGTGAAACATGTTGCTGTGGAACTCATTTTGGTATGTCACCTTTTAATGAGTTAAATAAATTATAGTTTAGTTAAGAAAAAGTTGACTTGCTTTCTTTCTAGTTTCTAGTTCTAGTATGGCCATTTCTGCAAAAGAAGCAGATTCCCAATATTTTTATAATTTTTGTGTGGTGATTGAGGGAATGGTTAGTTGTTGTTTTTTGTGTGTGTCATTGCTATTATAACAGAATGTGAATGAGTCCCACATATGACGCAGCTCCAGATGAATAAGTTTGTTTTGTGTGCCTTGTGTACTTGGTCAGATTCTTGTTCATGTGTTTTGCAGTTGGAAGAAAGCTAACCTTTCATTCATTATGAATGTTCATGTGCTCTATCTTCAGTGCTGCATAGTCTGTCTACCCTGTTGCTGAATGACCTGTTGTGTGCAGTTCAGTGTCCCACTGCTCATCTTCAGGTTCCCATTCTCGGCCGTCTTCAGCTGTCTCCACTGCACCCCCCCCCCCCCCCCCCCCCCCCCCACACACACACACACACACACACACATCACCACCATTCCATCCATTTATTCTTCACCTCATCCAGTTAAATCCATGACTTCTGACCTAACACCATGGCGTATAAATCACGCTTCTCTTTCTGGGAGCAAAAGGAAAGTCCCTTTTTGCTTTTTCTTTTTATCTTATTATTCAGTGATTTTGTGGAATATTTATGTTAAGAGAGTAACCATGATCTGAATGTGTGGTTTGATTTGTTTTCTTCCTTCCTCTTGTGTAGGTTAAGGTTGAGAACAAGCCAGATGTAAGTGTTTTTCAGCTGCATGTGTTTGAGTGATGGTGATACAAACCATTTTTGTGTAGTAAAAGAAGAGTGGCTACTATTGTCCTGTAAGAGATACAGTTCTTAGTAAAATAATCAGGCATAGTGGATGGGCACCTACTCTAACATAATTGAACCATGGGCAGCAGCTCTTTATTTAACCAATATCCAGTGCAATAGCATTAGTAAAGTATTAATTGAATATGATTTCTGAAAGGTAAAAAATAATCAGCTTCATTTGGTTCCATATTTTTGGGCCCATCCAAGTTCTTCTTTTCAGTGACTTGGTGCACCCTCAGGTGTTACCGGCCCCACAGAACCACTGCGGATGAATCCACTTTGATTATATACAGTCCCACCTGTCTTATATTGTGTAAAACTAACATTAGAATACTAATTTGTAACCTTGCCCATGAGTCTCTGGACACGTTTCTTTTCCCTTTATCCAGCTGTAGACTCAATTCAAGAAAAAATAAAAAAATAAAAACCTGGCTTGCCCATACACTGTAATTATGAGATTTAATGAAAATGAGTAATTGAGTTGGCTTGATTGATTCTAACCTTAGTGAGCAGTTTAAATAATCCTTTTCAAAATAATTCTCTGTGAAATTTTAAATCCAGTCTGATGTAGATAAGGGTCAACCTCAGGGAATTCCTGAAATTGGTCTGGACACAGGAAGTGGTCCACAGTCAAGCGCATCACCAGCTGAAGAAGCCAATAACAACACTGGTATGGGAGGTCCAGACACACCTGGGGAGGAGAAGAGTTCTAGTGGTAAAAAGGTGGTGAAAGTTGTCAGAAGAGTTGTCAGACGAGTGGTTCCTGCTGGAACAGAAGAGCGCAACCAGCACGCAGTTTCTGCATCTGCTACAGATGCTGCGATCAGGAAAACAGGAGCTGCTGGGGTGGAAAAGGATGATATATCAGTGGGCCTAACAAGCCTGATGGGAAGAGGCAGAACCAAGGAACATCGGCCTCGCACCCGCACCCAGGACCGCAAGGAAGACACTGTGACGCAGGAAGAGGAGAACGAAAAGGTGGAGGAGGTTGAAGAAAAGACTGCTATGACAAAAACAGAGGAAGTTTCATCTGTGCCTACTACTGCAGCCCTTAACACTCCACCAATAAAGTCTAATCCCCTCACCCCTCCACTTGGGTTCATCCCTCCACCCAAACCTGATCCTTTGGCCCCACCTCCTGGTTTCATCCCAGTCCCTAAGCAGAACGTGTTGACTCCACCACCAGGTTTCATCCCCACCAGAAAATCAAGCCCACTGCCCACAAAACAGAATCCCCTTATAAGACCTCCTGGTTTCATTCCTGTCCCCAAGGCAGATCCCTTGGCCCCTCCTGGTGGTTTCATCCCAAAACCTCGTCCACTTGCTGTAACGAAACCAGAGGTACTGAGTGAAAAGTGCATGTTTGCTACTTAGCCACTAGGTGGAGCACAACTTAAGTCGTCACTGCTAATTCATCCAATTTTCTCATAAATGAGCTCAATGAACATCTTATAGATTGTTTTTTGGTTATGCATTCATCAAACTTGAGCTAATCTTTGTTATAAACAAAATTAGTTAAAGTATAATACATTCCCACAAATAACTTTATATAATTGTTGCCTTGAATAAGTGGAGGGAAGTGGTGCACATATGGAAACTAATCATCAGATTTATCAGTGGGTATAAGGGTGTGCTCATGACCTGCACTGTAGTTGTCTGATGAGTTGGAGCACTGAGCTAAATCTCATTACTGTGACTTTCAGCAGACGGAGTTGAAACTGTGCTCTCTCTGCTGTGCACCACTGTGAGAGAGGATGTTTAGTAATGTTTTTAAAGATGGGAACAAGAATAAAGATTAAAAAAAAAATGTTGTTCAGGTTAGCATTAATTGTCTTGTAACAGTCTGTCAGAGAAGAGTGTCTTTGTTTCTACAGAACAAATAATTGGTTATGTAAACATTTAAATCTGCTAAAAAGAAAAGAAAATTGCTTTAAGGATGTACCTTTTTGTATCCCAAGTTCCATTTTATACTTCAGACAAAGTTATGTTTTTGTCCTGTTATTTAGTCTCTGGCATTCTGTCTGTCAGCCTACCATCTGAAAATTTCATCAGCAGATGTCTGTGAAATCTGGTGAACAGTTGGGTATTTGGCCATAGAGTGAGGGATTGGATTTCAGAGAGATGCACCTGGTGTTTTTGTTGAGGGATATAGTGTTTTTAACTGCTCTAGGGAGAGACTCGGCTTTTAATGTCAGGAACAAGATGTTAGCTGATCTTAGAAATTTATGTGTGACAAACCATTAGTGTAGGTTTGTTTTGTCTAGTGATTTTTATATTTCTGCTCTCACTAGAGCTATGACTGTACAACAGAAAGGTGTTTTTATGTTGCTGACAATGGCAGACCTCAGCCATTAGCAACAACTAAATTATACCTGGGGTTTGACAACTTTAGTAATTTGTTTAATTCCAGTTTTTAGCAGCTTCCTGTAGAGGGGAAATTGAAACCAGACTGTCAAAGCCTTACTTTGACTTTCTCCTGTGTATATATTAGAAAAAAAGAACAAGCAATATTTGATTGGAATTTAAAATAATTTTTGATTCACAACTTCAAGTATAGCAGCAGCTATGGAACAGAAGTAGAGAAACTGAGCTTTTTGCAGTTACAGAACAATGGCATAGAACTTTTGATGGGTTAATTTCAGATGCAACTTTGAGATTTTTGGGGAGTGGCGCCTGAAAATTAGGTTGGGATTTTGATTATTTCATTACTTTGAAGAAATTTGCATTCGATCGTTGCTGAAACCACCATCGACAATTCAATGCCTAAAACCATTAATCTTTACCACAGTGTTTAATGATCCAATTTTCTTGAACAGCTTTTTTGCCCTTACCCATTTCCTCACTGAATTAGTTGGAAAATTGTAATTAGTTTGAACAAGCGTCTCTTGAAGTTGGCTCTAGTTTTCTAATTAAAATCTAGTTTAAAGTTAAAAGGAAATACCTCGAGCTTTAACTTAATTGTCATCATCATCATGTTATCATGTTAATTCCATCTGTGTGTGTGCATGTTTGTCTGTGTGTTTGTGGTTATTTACATATGTTGTGCAAAGGTGCAGGAAACATCTTTCCCCCCTGTGGTCTCCAATGGTAAACCTCCCCCTGTTGTCCTACCCCAGTCTGCAAAAAATGAACAGGTGTGTGCTAAGTTTGCTCCTAAGGTTGACATAAAACTATGGTTTTCCTACATTCAGGAGCATAATACTTTTTTTTTGTTGTTTTTTTTTTTTTTTTTTTGCATGCAGTGGTTCTGCAGTGGAATAACTCTTTTTTTGCCCTAAGCTTAACCCAAGGCCTGACAAACGGCCTTCCCGAAATGATTTCCCTAAAATTCCAGAGGCCATCATTGGGCTGTCCCAAGCAGCCGTACTCTTCTACACCTCTGATATTGCTCAGCTTAAGCTCGGTGTTTCTGGCTCTTTGCCAGCTCATTTGTATTAATTCTGTAGCATTAATTGCATTATTATCTGGTCCAGAGAAGGACTGAGCTTGTGTAAGCCTCGTTTCAGTCTCAGTCATATAATGACAATGTACTCTGACATTGATTATTTTAGCAGTGCTGGATTATATGGCAATGAGTTACTTGTTTTCAACGTTTAGAACATGGAAATGAGCTTATTTTACCCCTTCTCATTGCTCTGCTCTTTTGTTGTCTTAATCCATATCTTTTGTCTCTATGCTTTTCTGTGGGTCACTGGATCCTGACTTGCTGCTGACCATTTTGCTGTTTACATGGCTAGCATACCAAATGCTACAAATCTTCTCAGGTACAGCTTGCTGTGCTGTGGGCTCGACACACTCCTTCAGCTGTAGAGTGCTTGAGTCTAAGCTTGTTCTCCTCTACTGACCCTTCTCTAGCATATATATATATATATACAGTGGGGCAAAAAAGTATTTAGTCAGCCACCGATTGTGCAAGTTCCCCCACTTAAAATGATGACAGAGGTCAGTAATTTGCACCAGAGGTACACTTCAACTGTGAGAGACAGAATGTGAAAAAAAAATCCATGAATCCACATGGTAGGATTTGTAAAGAATTTATTCGTAAATCAGGGTGGAAAATAAGTATTTGGTCACCTCAAACAAGGAAAATCTCTGGCTCTCACAGACCTGTAACGTCTTCTGTAAGACGCTTTTCTGTCCCCCACTCGTTACCTGTATGAATGGCACCTGTTTGAACTCATCATCTGTATAAAAGACACCTGTCCACAGCCTCAAACAGTCAGACTCCAAACTCCGCCATGGCCAAGACCAAAGAGCTTTCGAAGGACACCAGGAAAAGTATTGTAGACCTGCACCAGACTGGGAAGAGTGAATCTACAATAGGCAAGCAGCTTGGTGTGAAAAAATCAACTGTGGGAGCAATCATCAGAAAATGGAAGACATACAAGACCACTGATAATCTCCCTCGATCTGGGGCTCCACGCAAGATCTCATCCCGTGGGGTCAAAATGATCATGAGAACGGTGAGCAAAGATCCCAGAACCACACGGGGGGACCTGGTGAATGACCTGCAGAGAGCTGGGACCAAAGTAACAAAGGTCACCATCAGTAACACACTACAACGGCAGGGAATCAAATCCCGCAGTGCCAGACGTGTTCCGCTGCTGAAGCCAGTGCATGTCCAGGCCCGTCTGAAGTTTGCCAGAGAGCACATGGATGATACAGCAGAGGATTGGGAGAATGTCATGTGGTCAGATGAAACCAAAGTAGAACTTTTTGGTATAAACTCAACTCGTCGTGTTTGGAGGAAGAAGAATACTGAGTTGCATCCCAAGAACACCATACCTACTGTGAAGCATGGGGGTGGAAACATCATGCTATGGGGCTGTTTTTCTGCCAAGGGGACAGGACGACTGATCCGTGTTAAGGACAGAATGAATGGGGCCATGTATCGTGAGATTTTGAGCCAAAACCTCCTTCCATCAGTGAGAACTTTGAAGATGAAACGAGGCTGGGTCTTCCAACATGACAATGATCCAAAACACACCGCCCGGGCAACAAAGGAGTGGCTCCGTAAGAAGCATTTGAAAGTACTGGAGTGGCCTAGCCAGTCTCCAGACCTCAACCCCATAGAAAATCTGTGGCGGGAGTCGAAAGTCCGTGTTGCTCGGCGACAGCCCCAAAACATCACTGCTCTCGAGAAGATCTGCATGGAGGAATGGGCCAAAATACCAGCTACTGTGTGTGCAAACCTGGTAAAGACCTATAGTAAACGTTTGACCTCTGTTATTGCCAACAAAGGTTATGTTACAAAGTATTGAGTTGTATTTTTGTTATTGACCAAATACTTATTTTCCACCCTGATTTACGAATAAATTCTTTACAAATCCTACCATGTGGATTCATGGATTTTTTTTTTTCACATTCTGTCTCTCACAGTTGAAGTGTACCTCTGGTGCAAATTACTGACCTCTGTCATCATTTTAGGTGGGGGAACTTGCACAATCGGTGGCTGACTAAATACTTTTTTGCCCCACTGTGTGTATATATGTGTGTGTGTGTGTATGTGTATATATATATATATATATATATATATATATATACACACACACATACACAAACTAAATTTTTTTGTGCCTGCCTACTTGTCTTTAAAATCATTGATGCAGAGGCCTGGAGTGTACTACTGCGGCATAAAAACTTCTCAAGATCTCAAGATTTATTTTTACCACTGCTCCATTTCATTTACAGTGGACTCGGTGTGTCATGTTGCTCTGTAATGGTGTTGTTGCTTTTGCGCTATACAAATACATGTACATACTGAAGCTATATTGTCATAATTCGTCAGTTAACAGCTTTTAACACTTCTTATTAGGTGCATGTCAGTGACATGGAAAGCTAAATTACTAACATTAACATTTCTGATATACATACCTTACTGTGCATAACTGTGACTGTTAATAAGAGGGCATGAGTTTTATGCTCTCTCCACAAACCCACACGTGTGGTTAAATGCATCCTGCTAATCAGTGCATTATTTTTGTTACAGTATTTCTTATAGTAATACAATCATTATTAAGGACTTTATGGTAAATGTGTTGGTGAATCACTTATTTGGGTGGTGTTGCACTGTTGTTGGCCTTGCTGCAGTGTTCGTGTTATACTTTTTACACATTCTGACCTATTGTTTTACTTTTCTCCACAACTCTGCATTTTTATTGTTTCTTCATGCGGTTGTGTCAGTTGAATCTCTATAGGTGTTGAAATAACTTACTGATTTCTTCCCTTGTCCAGTCCAAACTTGTTGAGGATCCCGTGGCCATCCTTCAGGCAGCACACTCAGCTGCAACTAAGGTCTGATAATGGCTACAGCTGGTTGTAATTCTGGTTGCATCCCGAAGTGTTTCAAGTGGAATGTCCTTTTTTGTGTTATTTGTGTGGGACAAACTAGTCGTGAGTGTCACAAAAAGCCTAGTGAATGACATTCAGCACCCATAAAGCTCAAATTAACCTTCCCTATAGACTTACTCAATGTAGTTAAATCTGAGTAAAGGAATAGAAGTACCCTACTCAGTCAGTACTCATTAGTTAATAAAATTAGTTGCATTTCAAGGAAGAAACTACTATTTGGTGCATATTCACTGTTTGTACCTATTTTATTACCTCCAAACACTTGACTTGATTTAACTTGTTTGGCTTTATGCTGTATGTGTGTCTCTGTTCAGTTCAAGCAGGTCGTGCATTTTTTTCCCATATGTGATTGGTTTGGACTTGGTTGTGATAAATACCTCCTGCATTTTAACCTTCCACCTTAAATCTCTTTATAGTGAGCATATTAACTGCACCTCTGAGTTAATCACTGTGTGAGCTCTGAAAGGTTCATAAAAGGAGAGTCATGGGAAGTCTAGTTCTTCTGTGGAGGGCTGCTTTTGTAAATGACATAAATATAGGAGGTGTGAAATGAAAACATACTTTTCTCAAATCCATATAGCCCTCCACTCAGTGAACTGAAATCCTTTTGAAAGTCCATTATGCAGCTGTATGATTTATTAATCAGTGATCCAATAGAAATTGGTTATACAGGTTTTCATATACTGATTTTCACCTCTAACAGGTAAAGACTGAGGAGCAGCTGACAGCAGAGAAAACCTGGTATAACACTGAGAAAGTATGGCTTGTCCACAAGGATGGATTTTCCTTGGGTTAGTAAAATGTCTGTATTTAAATAAATTATGCATTATAGTGCATTTAGATGGAGTTTATTGTGGGTTTTTTACCCTTTATTTATAACTATATTAAAACAAACGTACTTTTTTTCTGCTTTTCCTGGTATGGTCTGTTTCTGGTTGACCTTTTATTACATAACTGTAAATGTGGGTGTGTGAAGCATTGGAAATGCTTTTGAAATTTTGATGTTATCAGGCTGCTCATTTTACCTCAGGCTGCATGTGATTAAACCAACCATGTTTTCAAAACTTACATTTCAAAACTTACTTACATTTTATTAAATCTCTGACACTATTGAAAGAGATACAGTTGCCACATAGTATTATGCAAAATGAAATGAAACTTTTGCACTCAGGTTGAAATGATGTGTCATAAGTAGTTAACTCCACACTTTGTGGTGGTGCAGCAACTCTCCTGAAGATGGAGACAGGCAGTCTGCCAGAGGGGAAGGTGAAAATCCGCCTGGAGAGTGATGGATCTTTATTGGATGTGGATGAAGACGATGTAGAGAAGGTATTTAATCATCTCATCATTTGTGAACCTCATTAATTACAGATGACACTTGTGAGCTCTTCTGACTTTGAACTCTAGGCAAACCCTCCAGCGTTTGACCGAGTGGAGGACTTGGCCTCTCTGCAGTATCTGAACGAGTCGAGTGTGATGCACTCTCTGCGGCAGCGGTATGGCAGCAACCTGGTGCACACCCACGCTGGGCCCAACATGGTGGTCATTAACCCCATTAGTGCCCCTTCAATGTATTCGGAGAAGGTAGGCTCTAGCCAGTACATGTGACACATCTCTTGTGGGAGAGTATAAATGAGAGTGTAGTGAGGAGAAAATGCATTTCCAATGGTAGTAATCCATGTAAAAACACTATAATTTTGCTTTTCTTTCCAGGTGATGCAAATGTTCAAGGGCTGCAGAAGAGATGACACTGCTCCTCACATTTATGGATTAGCACAGGCTGCCTACAGGAACCTGCTGACTACTCGCCAGGATCAGTCCATTGTATTGCTGGGCAAGAGTGGAAGTGGCAAGACCACTAACTGTCAACACATCATCCAGTATCTGGTTACAGTCGCAGGAAGCACCAACAGAACATTCTCCAGTAGGTTGGAAAGGATGTCCTCTGAATTAAAATAAATAAATAAATAAATAAAATTTAGCTAATATTATGATTGATGTTGTTGAGTCCCCCTCCCCAATAACAGCGTATGATCTTTATTGTAGCGGAAAAATGGCAGGCAGTCTACACTGTTTTGGAGGCTTTTGGGAATGCTTCTACGTGCATGAATGGCAATGCTAGTCGCTTCACCCACATTGTTTCCTTGGACTTTGACCAGGCGGGCCTGGTGACCTCAGCCTCTATCCAGGTACAGATAAGCACATTTATTAATTAACTCACTTGGACTCAACTGTTGAATTTATTCCTAATGAATAACTGATTTTCATTCCAAATCAAATTCAAATTTTATTTGTCACGTACACAGTCATACACAGTACGATATGTAGTGAAATGCTTGGACAACTGCTCGTGACCTAAAGAAAACAAAAAAGGAAAAGGCTATGAATAAGATAGGAAATAAATATGAAAAATTAAAAAGGGTAAATTTAACTAGGAAGGAATAAAATATAAATTAAGGTTAAAAATGAAATAACTGTACAACACAAATTAGAATGAAGGGTAAATTTAACTGGGAGAACAAGATAAAATATATAAATTAAAGTTGAAAATAAAATAACTGTACAACAAAATACACAATATAGAACTATATAAGAATGTATGAAGAAATATAAATAAATATATACACAATAACAGCAGCGTGATTTAAGTAATGAAGTGAAAACAATGTCCAGAATGTCCAGACATAAAGTGGTGTATATTTTCACCAAACTCAGTCTTTGTTATTATGCTCACCTGCTCATAATATTGTATTTCTGCCATCCTTTCAATATTGTGTTCTGCCCTGGTCTTTCAGACAATGCTTTTGGAGAAGATGAGAGTGACAAGAAGACCAGATGGAGAGTCCACTTTTAATGTTTTTTACTATCTAATGGCTGGAGTAGATAGCTCTCTGAGGTAGGGATTAATACACTCATGTCAATTACTACCTAAATCCACTACAGTACTGCATTGGTTTTTACATAGATATATTGTAGTTCTCTATAATGCTGCCTTTTCTTCCTATTTTCCCTTTGATCCTAAATGTGTTCACTAATGTCTTGTAAGTTATTTATTTTTTAAATTTCTTCATTAGAACTGAGCTGCACCTTAACCACTTTGCTGAAAGCAGTGCCTTTGGAATCATGCCACAGACTAAGGTAAATGCATCCTGATACTAGAAGTTTGGCTTGTTTTGTCCAACCAGGAATGGAAGGGGAAAAGTTTACTTAAAGATTTACCCACCCAAAAAAGAAGCTCAAGTTATGTTTGTGTGAATCTGCCAGGCAGAGGATAAACAGCGGGCCTCTCAGCAGTTTTTCAAACTGCAAGCAGCCATGAAGGTTCTGGGGATCAGCGGTGATGAGCAGAGGGCCCTCTGGCTCATCCTTGGGGCCATTTACCACCTTGGGGCTGCGGGAACCACCAAGGGTAAGATTGCTTGAATGCACTCCTCCACAACTGCATCACCTATTGGAGATGACGTTTGTTCTGCTGTTATAGAACAGGCTCCAGTGACAAAGCAAAATGCTGTTTTTGATTTGTGCACACAATGAAAAATAATTATGGTGAAATTACCTTTGTTAGCCCAAATAGTTTTTGTAACACTTTGTAATTTGACAGATATCAAGCTGGCATTATCTCACTGTTGGCAACATGTGCTGTGTGATGCAATCACATGTAATCACAATGACTGAATAATACATTTATTTATACGTTAAAAGTACACAGTGCACAGCTGCTCCAATGATCAATAGCTGAACATTTAAATCTAGGCCATTGCAGAAAATGTTATACTTTAGATCTTAGCACATTTGCGTAGAGTGGGTGGTGGTGGTGGTGGGCTGGAATCATTCAAGACTTTGTGGTACAGAATTATTGCTGCCTTTATAGTATGTGGCTGCCAGTGAAGTAATACATTGTATTTTTTATTTAATCTGAACCCCTGTCGGATTTACCTTTATCATTCCTTACTGCATGAACATATTAAATAAACAGAGCACTGTTTGTGGTTGAGTAACTGAAACTAATGACAAACTTCTTGAATCTAATTGCTTGGAAACACCGTTGCTGCTCACGGAGAGAAAAACCTTGATCTAATTCTTGACAAACATTTATTTTGTCATAAAGATGCATTACAGGACTAATGGGAACAGCAGTTCTCACGAACACAAGAACTTGCTTCTGTCTAAAGCTGTTCGAATGATGAAACCTAATGTAACAGATTGTTTTCCTTTAGAGTAATAGAACGGCCCTTTTGTCAGGATTTGACTAACTTTTTAAAATTAGATAGCTGACATTTGTAAAAGCTGTAGCTGCCACAAAGATTTTTATTTTAGGTGAGTTAATCATCACATCCTTTTTTTGTCATTATAAAAGGCCACTGGAAGGATAGAAAGGATAGAATTAACCATTTAAGTCCTTTCAAAACACAGATTTAAGTGTTTATTTATATTTAGCATTGACTTTTTGGTTGATGAAATTTGTTTTGTTTTAATTTTAACTGAGGTTAAGTGGGCATATTTACACAGATGAGCAAATGAAAAACTGTCCATTTAAGGATTTAATTGCTGTTGTAGTGCAAATAAATTAATTACCGAATAGCAGGATAATATACAACAGAGAAACCACAAAAAAATGTGATAACAGTGGCAATAGTGCTGAATTTTGTGCTTTTTGATACGTTTGCTCACTCTTCAGTGCCTGTCTGTAATTGCCAGTTACTTATGAGAATAGCTTGCCAAATAATTTGCAGTGATCCCCTCCAGCTGGCTCCCAATATTTCTGATGGCAGAATAAAGCAGGGAATAGTTAAAAAAAAATCAATAAATACTGTCTGTTATTGGGAATAAAAATTCTGAACAACTTTCTGCTTGGCAATACATTTGATTGGTGTCTTCGTTTTCAAAATGAATTCTTATGAAGAAGCAATGTCAGGGGTAGGAATAGGAAGTCATTGAGAGGCCTGTCTATGGGAATATTTATTAATGATAATAGTCTACAGTCTAGACCCTTTTGTACCAAGGGCCTAGTTTGCATTTTGGTTATCAAAAGGAGTAATAAACAGATTATGAAATAAATCCATTGGCAGTGTAACTTTATCCTGGTACACAAGAGGGCAGCAGTGATCTCCAAAACCTAGTTAAGGGACCACCTGAAATGAACTTAGTTTTCTCTGTATATTGTGTAGTGAACACTTACATCGAATAAGTATAGATAGGAGACTTAGCATACTCTTTCTGTGTACTTAAGAAGAAATATTGTACATATGTAATTTTCTTTTATTATCTTTAAAAGCTGTACAGCCATCTGCTGTTTGATTCTGCAATGTTCATTCATGTTGGTAAACCCACTTTGCTCTTTTTGATGTTTTAGTGGAATTTAAGTAATTGTGCTGCCTGGTATCTATCAAAGTAAATATTTAAATGCCTTTGCTTGTCTTCATAACTAGCCTTATCAATAAGAGAAGTATACAAGGCTTCTGCAGTACTGATGAGACAGATAGAGCCCACTACTTTGTCTGAAATCCCACAGTTTCTCTCTTAAGTCTTAGAAGATACCACTTCATGGTGGATTAAAACTGAAGCTGGCACTCATATCTTTACGTTAGCATCACTCAGCCGCTAGATTGAGGGAAAGTTAGTTTTCCCAACAGCAGTCTTTATGTAAATAAATAAATTATGTCCCCTAATGATAAATTTCGCTTTCATTCTCAATAAGATAAAAGGGGCAATTATAATTTCAATTTAATAGACATTTTTTCAGTATTAAACAATTGAAATAAGGTTTTTACTTTATAGATGCTTGTGTGTGTGTGTGTGTGTGTGTGTGTGTGTCTGTCTCCATCTCCACAGTAGTTAAATGTATTCAGACTACCACCCTTTTGAACATGCTTTTAGTGCATGTTTTTATCAGCTGTGTCAGTGTCAGTTCGACCAGACACATAATCCTACCCTGTCACAGACAGTATTGTCACAAAGTCACCATGTGCCTGCAATAGTTGGCAGAAGGGCTAATGGAGGTTTTCATGCACGTGTCTCAGCTGGCAGGAAACAATTTGCACGTCATGAGTGGGCTCAGAAGGCAGCCTACCTGCTGGGCTGCACCCTGGAGGAGCTCTCCTCTTCCATCTTCAAGCACCAGGCCAAGGGCACCCTGCCCAGAGCCAGCACTATTCGCCAGGCTTCTGACGAAAATGGCACGGCAGATGCAGGTACTCCACGCCACATTTACCACCATATTCTTTACTCTTTATTCCTCACAGTACCCCCCTTTCTCCCTACCTTTTCTTTTTTGTCACTCTCATTCTATTTACACTTGCACACGCATATGTTGCTGCTCATCACTCAAAGGGAAAATGCAAGGGAGAGAAAAAGTAAAGCTTATCTTGGTAATGAATACCACAGCTTTACAATGGCTATTGACAGATAGGTGCGCATACTATGTTGGGACAAGCAATTTTGGATCCACTCTTCATTCATTGTCCCTGAAATCATAATTGCCTCACATTGATTTTTCACACGTGTTGGTTCATCAAGACTGCAGTACATTCTGAAGGGCATGACGACTCAGTTAAAGGTCTTTCACAGTAGGGATGGACAGAAATGACCTTTGTTTCTCCTTCCCTGCATCTCCCCTCATTCATGAGCATATAGTCATTGACGTGTGTGCACACATGAATATATCGCCTATGCAACAATAAACTCACTTATGTGATGGTGTAATGAATTATGAAAGCTTAACAGGTGGCCATTGCCTCTAGGCACAGACATGAGTATTCAGTTTGATTTGACAGTTTCCAAAACACCTGATCCCTAAATGACACTGCTTCAGAAAGACACTTTTGTAGGTATTTTCAATACCTTCTAACTCAGAAAATAATGTGTTTGAATACCATGGAAATGTAGTTCCTTTTTAAATCAAATGCTTTGACTATAGTTTCAGTAAAGCTTTTACAGTTCAACATGTTGACATTCCTCCTTCCTATTCAACTGGTTCTTGTGTTATTTGCTGATGGAGATATTGTGAATTAGCTATTGAGGATTTGTTCTGACTCTGCGTTTTTATATCAGCATTCAAAGCAACAGCAATGGAGTGTTTAGAAGCCATGGCATCCGGGCTTTACTCTGAACTCTTCACTACCGTCATTTCTCTAATAAACCGGTTAGTATTTCTTCTCTGGTGTGTTACTGACAGTACATTACATTTGTAATGAAGATGTCATGATTGTGCTGAACCGGTATGCAACAGAAAAATGTAGATGCCTCATGTCACTTTTAGTAACCATCATTTGTGTTTAAACAAGAATGTTTGAATGGTTTCAGAGTATTAGAGCCAGTTTTATTTCAGTTAGGGATATAGTGGCATGAGATGAGGTTATATCAAGAGGTTGTCAAATATGGCACTGCTAATGTTATGTGTGTGTATGTATTTACCATGTTTGCTTAAGGGCTCTGAAATCCAGCCAGCACTCCCTGTGTTCTCTGATCATTGTGGACACACCAGGCTTTCAAAACCCAAGGCTGGCTAAGCGTGAATGTGGTGCAACCTTTGAAGACCTGTGCCACAACTACACTCAAGAGCGTCTGCAGACCCTCTTCTACCAGCGTACTTTTGTTCAGGAGCTGGAGCGATACAAAGAGGTAATGCCATGTAAAGTATTATGCACCGTGCATACAAACAGCCTCATTCTCATTGTTTCTGCCTTCCTCCTACCCTTTCTCTCCCCTTGTCTGGTCCTTTCTCTCAGATATATCAACTCCAATAGAGTATGTGTACACACATCAGATACACTATCTGTTCTACCTGTCACAAGCTGTGACAAGTCAAAGTAGTTCATGTGTTAGACCTTCTCATTAGTGATGCCAGTCTTCACCGCTTCTGCCAAGATCAAAGTAAAGTCACTCACAGCTGCCTGTGGGAGAAACGCCCAGCTGCACAGCAGTGCTGTTGTTCCCTAAAGATCTATTCTACTTCTGTCCTCTTTAACGTTCTGTCTAGCAGGACTGGACCATCATAACTATGGGTGTAGTCATCCCATAGGATTTAGTGTTTTTGAGGACAAATAGAAAGTTTTCTTTCATTACTTACAGTTATGTCTCAATTCATTGCAACAATGTTTTTATTAAAAACTCACCTGATATCACACTGGAGTTACCCAGACATCCTGATTATATTGCTTCAGATACATTGCTTCTGAAAAAGGATCCTGGGATTTCCCACCCACATCCTTTGCATGGCAGAAATGGAGTTGGAATGAGATGAAATATTGCATAAATGCGTGTAGTGTAATTCTCTCTTGTCAGTACATCTTGAAAACATAAGAACCTGTGAAAGTGTCATTGTAAACTGGGTCAAACTCATTTAAAACGGCACACAGTCTTAACAATCACAGTGACAGGCAGGCGGGTTAAATTGTGATACACACAACCGGCACACACAGTATGCCTTTATATTTTTGAATAAATTGCTGTTGGGCGCTCTAGCTTTCTGGCTAGTATTTTTTTTTTTCTGTTTTTTGCGTTCCTCTGTACATGGACTCTCCGCAGCAGAGAACAAAAATCAGTGGGGAGACTTCACATACACAGTCAGCTTGAACACTGGCATCTGTCGTGGCCACATTATTAGCATGCCAGCATTTTCTCCCCTTTCTGGAGCATGATCCACTCTGTTACCATGCACTGTTACTTTATCTCTTAATCTTTATAGCTATAGCTTTATCTCAGATAATTTTTATCATGTGCCACATTAATCTAGAAATGACTAATGGAGCTGCAACCAAAATGGTCAAATCTTTATGGCTTAATAACAATGTATTTGTTCTTTTTTTTTTTTTTTTTTTTTTAAACCAAGTTAAAATAGTTGTAGTTAACCTATAAAATGCTATTACATTTTGGAGCTGTGGTAAAATATAAAGACTTGAGACTGTGACAGCTGTTATATGCTAAAAAGCAAGGTACACTCTAGACAGGTTGCTAGTCATTGACATGGCTAACACATAGAAACGGATAATTAGACATTCTCAGAACCAGGCCTATGGGCAATTTACAATCACCAGTGCACCTAAGATGCATGTCTTTGGACTGTGGGAGGACACCAGAGTATTCAGAGAGAACCCACACAGGAAACCCCCAGCTGGATGGTAGGTCTTGAACCTACTCGCTGTGAGGCAGCAGTTCTAACCACTGTACCATTGCCTCTCTAAAAATCTTCTGCTCTCTGTCGCTTTCTCATTTATCCTGTTAATAGTTCAAAACTAAAAAATATATATTTTGCTAACTTATTGGTCTATGACAGTGGGTTTCAAATGGCCTAGCATTCAAAATCCTATTTTTTTGACATCATAGGTCATTAGTTTGTCAATCTCTTTGCTGTCCTCCAGGAAAACATAGAACTTTCCTTAGACGACACAGAAACCAGCACGTCTCTGTCTGTGGCAGTGGTAGACCAAGCTTCGAGTCAAGCACTGGTACGCTTGTTTTATTGTCTTTCTTCATTTTATTGTCACACATCTAACTTGCATAATTTCTCATTTCCCTTGGTTTTAGTACCATAAAATGTTTGATTTTCAGATGTTAATGTTAATCCCTGGGTACAATATATTGTTTTTTTAATTAAGAAAAAAATTGAATAATGTCTCTAAGCATCAGAAGACTTCTCTCTATGTTAGACTTGTTTGGCAGAGACTAGAAAGAGAGGGTGGGAGCAAGAAAAGAAAGGTTAGAGAATTGACTTCAAGAAAGAAAATCAATGTTTGGCCTTTCCAGCCTATGATCTGCACCATGGAAACAGAAATGGCCGAGTTTAGAGAGTCCATAGATCACTTTGCTGTAATTCCAATGTGTTTGGTTTGAGTGCTTTACTTTTTAAAGGGTCCCCACTCTAATGGGAATGTCATCAAAAGCAGTGAACTGTAGTACATCACACTAAAAACCGAAGGGTAAAAATAACACAGATTCTTCAAAGTAATTTCTAAAGTCAGCTATAAAGATCTATGCTGTTTAGAGTGCAAAGACATTTTGATCAAAGATTTTTTTTTTTTCCCTCACAGATATTTTTTTTTCCTGTTGTAGCTCAGACATCTGTTATCACAAACAGCCTTAATGCTTGATTCATTGCAAGCCTCATAGTTGTCACATGTCTTCTCCAAACTGATAACCTGTTTTGTATTTGTAGTCAGCGTAGTGTGCACTGCTGATAAGGATGTCTCCAGTGCAACTTCTGATGGCTGCTAAAGCATTTTTTGGTTTTGTGGATTTGCTTCTTAAGCCACAGTTCCCAGGGTGGATTTAGACAGTAGCTACCTTTCTCATGAGCTTGAACAACAAGATGGTTATGCTCAATGTCTCTGACTTAAAAGTGAACGCTTCAGTGTGTTATGTATTATGGTGACATATATTTGGCATACCCTTATTCAACAATGACATGCTAATTGTGTAACTAATTGCATTATTTAAATTTTTCTCCCTTTATACTTTCCACATTTTCCCTATTTTAATTGTGTGGAATAAGTTAAAACTGTTATGACGGTATTATTGCAGTAAACTGCTAAAAGTATGCTCACATCACAAATGCTATTGAAACTTAAATTTCCGCTGCTAACAATATCTCCATGTCTGTGATACACTGCTCAGACTGGGAAAACAGAGGGCAAAGTATTTTCGCTGACATTTAGAATGGTTTATATGTAAGCAAACGCTCACTACAGAGGCCAGCACCAGGCATTTGAAGGATATTTTTTATAATTAATACTTATTGCTTTGTCATTATTGTTTGTAGGAGGTGGATAATAATATCTTAAATATATTGTGACTCATCAATATATTCCATTAAACACTAACATGAACTAGATGTTTACTCATGTTTGACATTCCTTTTGTAAAATCTTTTGCATAGAGGGTCATAAAGGTAAAACAGAATAGTGTGTGTGTGTGTGTGTGTGTGTGTGTGTGTGTGTGTGTGTGTGTGTGTGTGTGTGTGTGTGGGGACAGGTACGGACAGTGCGAACAGATGAGGCCCGGGGTCTGTTGTGGTTGATGGAGGAGGAGGCACTGCAGCCTGGGGGTTCAGAGGAAACACTGTTGGGACGCCTGTTTAGCTACTATGGACCTGCTGAGGGCGAGAGTAAAGGCAAGGGGAAGATGCACACACAGACACACATGCATAAGGTCGCACTAATACAAATAGTGATCTTCTCAGAAATGAACAGAAAATCCTTGTATTTTCATTTTCAAAAAGAATAAAAAAAAAAACAAAACAAAGATGTTCATTAACATTATATATTGTATGGGTATATATAAACTCCCCTTTTGTTTTATAGTACGCTGTATTGTCTCAGTTTAAATGAGCTCATTAAAGCTATACTATAATATGGAATTTCCAAATCACAATATCTCGTTTAATTTGACCAGTTGCTGTTGTTCTGCAGAGCAGTCACAGATATCCGATTCATATGTTTCTTAGCAATTCTCTAACAATAAGAACTGAAGCTTTTAAAAAGTTCCCTAATAGAGCTAGAAAATGGTACGCAAATTGTCATTTTAGTACTCCAAAACAACAGCTGGTGGATTCTCATTAAAGCTACTTTTGGCTGCTCCCTTATTCACAAGGGGTCGCCACAGTGGGTAGCTCCACAGCTTCGATTTGGCAGATTTATTTATTTCTTTTTTTTACGCCCTTCCTGACGCAGCCCCAAAGGGATTTGTCTCCTCCTAGCATCAAATAAGGGAGCTTTCATTTGCTAGGCGAATGTGTAAACCACTACACTATGGAGCCACTCAGCTTCAGAATTCTCATTAAAACTCTTCATATAGGTCAGATTTGAGCTCCTCTGTTTCGTCTATCAGCTCTCTGATGACCTAGTGGCAGACAGTTATATCGTCTATGAAAGTGGAGTATGGTTGGATCTAAATGTCTCACACTAAAACTACACGGATAAAGTGGCCCATTAAACAATAAGGTTTACTAGGAACAGACTGTTCATCATGATGTTTTTATCAGTAAAATCTATGCAGGTTTGTGACAGGCGGCACACACCAGACTAATTAGGATGTGATGAATTTACTTGCTTTGTTAAACTCATGCAGACAGTAAACCCCTTTCTGAAGTCTTGAATATGATTTTTCTCATTATCTTGCTGTATATGTATCTAATAGATTTTACACTGGATCCCCCATTTACTTTAGGTCACACTTTCCTGTTGAAAAGTGAAAAAGATCATAATTTCCTGCTGGGCCACAGCCATGGGACAGACTGGGTGGAGTATGATGCACGAGGGTGGCTCAGCTATGCCAAGCAGAATCCCGCCTCTACCAATGCTGCGTCCCTCCTACAGGACTCGCAGAAGTAAGTATCCACCATGCAGGAGTTGTTGTTCCTTGGTGTTGCAGACTTGAATTATAAAACATCACACTCTGAATTACGGCATCTCTTACAGAAAGATCATCGGCTCATTGCTCATGAACCGCACAGGTGGAACCACAGTTTTGTCCGGGTCTGTTGCTGGCCTTGAAGGTGTTTCCCAGCTGTCTTTGCGCCGGGCTACTAGCATGAGGAAATCCTTCGTCACAGGAGTAGCTGCCATCAAGAAGAAGTCTTTGTGCATTCAGATAAAACTTCAAGTGGTGAGAGCATAGGGTGTGATGGCTACTTGGGGATGTGGGGCACCACAAGGCACAACAAAACATGCTGTTGTAAATATGAGAAGTTTTAAATTTGTTTTTGACTCTACCTGAAGTCTTATAAATGAAGTAGAGCCGGTTGTTTAGCGACAACAGAGAAAACGACATTAAGCCATTAAGAAGTTTTGTTTTAGTGGCTGCATAGTGTAGCGGTTTACACATTTGCCAAACAAGAATCCTGTTTCAGTCCCTTGAAGAGACATTACTTTGGTGTTGCATTAGAAAGAGCATCTAGTGTTTTATGTTTTATTTATTATTTTAAAAAAATGAACATGTGGAGCTACCTGGTGTGGTGAACCCTTGTGAATATGGGAGCAGCTCAAAACAGCTGCTATTACTACTACTACTACTACTAATGCTGTTATCAGTACCACTACTTTTAAGAAGAACATATTTCTCAACAAGAGAGTCAAAAACTAAAAACCTTAACTTGTGCTTTATTAGAAGACGCTGCATTAACTCTTGACCTGTTCCCACCAGGCTGCTTATAATCCTGCTCTGTCCTTTTCAGGATGCGCTTCTTGACATGTTGCGGAGGTCCAGGATTCAGTTTGTTCACTGCATATTGCCCAAGGCGGATGCCCTCAAGGCGCTGAGTGGATCTCTGTTCAAAGGAGTGGAATGTGAGACTCAAGGGGAGAGTGGAGATCCTAGCTTAATGCAGCTAGATGTAGCCTTGCTCCGTGCTCAGATACGTGGATCTAAGCTGCTTGATGCTTTAAGAATCTACAGACAAGGTGAGGTAAAGCAAACATACCCCCTTGTCCATGTGTATTAAAAAAAAAAAAAGCCTGTCAGATTAAATCTTATTCAATACCGGTTTTCACAGGTTACCCTGATCACATGGTGTTCTCTGAGTTCCGACGGCGCTTTGATGTGCTGGCACCGCATCTCACCAAGAAGCACGGAAGAAATTATATAGTGAAGGACGAGAAGAGAGTAAGTCAGTCACTGAGAGAGGGAGTAAAATGTACAGCTGTGCCGCTAGCCAAGCACAGTGAAGATTGATGATGTGAGGAGGCAGCTTCATGACCTGATCTCAACAGCCTGATGTCAGCAGCCTACTGACAGAGACATAAAGCTTCATCAGGGCTAATAGTAAAGACCTAATCAGCTTAACTTCATCACTATAATGCCTGTGAAAGAAGCTGATCAATATCAGGGCTTAGAAAGTGCTTTACTGCAAACAAAAATAAAAATGCCTATTTTTCTAAATGCCATGGTTATTACACTGTGACAGTACTGCTTTTGTTGGTTTTAATTTAAATTTATAAAAAATGTGGATGGCTTGAGCTTCATTATAAAGACCTATGAAAGAAACATGAGTTGAAGAGTAGTAGAGAAAAATACAGAAGTTTCTTTCTGCAGAGAAATAAGAAAGCAAGGTAGAGAATGTGGGTAGGGGTGAATATAACTCCTTTCCCCTGTGTCAGTGTGTTGGAGCTGAGTTTCTGTGGAAACACTGGCAAACAAAAGCCCCTCAGTATTCGTGGCAAACCTCTCTTGGTGTAATCTAGATGTGGTCTTTCAAAGTGGAGTCTCAAGTAGAGAGAAGAGGCTCAGACAACAATAGACGGACAGTATACACAGGCTGAACAGGGAGAGGGGGGGCTCCAGTGTTTGGGTTGGTGTAACTCTACATGGGATGTGTGTGTTTAGAGCTGCAACTAGGTCAAGAAAAACAGGGGATCATGATGAATAGACTAGGTGCAGGTGGATCTTATGGGGCAAGTTGTAATTGGTTTGTTGTATTTTTTCTTTTGCATCCCGACTTGGTTTTAAAACAAAATCCAGAGTGAGAGAAGAGGAGAAAAAGTGCACTGTAGTTATTAAACATGACAGATAAGGGGGAACTGTAGACCGCTCTATTGTTGTGGTGTCAGTAGCACCACTGGATCCACCTTTTGAAAGGCTGAATGTGTGTTTGTGTGCATGTATGCATTTACTCAGGCTGTAGAGGAGCTTCTGGAGTCCTTGGATTTGGAGAAGAGCAGTTACCACATGGGTCTGAGCAGGGTGAGTAATGCCCACACATCACAAACAAATGAACAGCTTTAAAAATGTATTGAATAAACATTTGCTATGAATTGCTCTGCGTCTGTTTTGAAATTCTCACCACAGAGCAGTAGTTCACAACTCTTTTTTTTTTTTATGACACTTGCTGTCTGGGGATGTGTGTCTTTCAGTACACCTGTTCCTCTTTGAGGCTTGTTTGCCATCCTTTATTGGAGACCTGCCAAGCCTTGTCCCTTCTTCAAGTTATTTAGCCAGTGGTTACCCAAGAGTCATGTCTCTACCTTGCCCATATATATTACCATATTTACTATGTTTTTTTTTCAGGTTATTGGAGCAAATTTCTCCTCTTAATGCATTCTGTTTTTCACCACAACCTTAGTATGATTTGCACAGTAAACATTGCTTCAAAATGCACATTAAATCCTATCAGCTGGAAAGCGGCCATCAGTCAAAATGAAATCAAACAGTAAAGTACAAAAGAGGGGGACTTATGCTCCAAGATACTGTACGGTGTGCATGGCCCTTTTATAAAACACATGACAAAAGAATGGTTTGGAGGCGGCTTCACATGGTGCCACACTTTGGAGTGTGAAATGGGCTCAGAAGTAGACATGCACAGTTGGCCATTCACAAAGCATTCCAGTGGTGTCTTGGCAACCTGTCTCACTTGCATGCCAATTACACCAAACCAACTAAAAGCAGTGAATGAGAAGCTCTTGACTGGACAAAATCTGCCATTAGAGATAGCCACATGCCTGAAAGGAACATAGCTGCATAAAGCTACTACATGATGCCTGCATGCAATTTTGAAAATAAAAATAAAAGAATAACAGATTATTTTTTGCCTTGAGAGTTTTAATTAATATTCATTGATACCATTGAATGTATCTTTCTTTGCTACTGCTTTATAGATTTGCTTGCTAAAACAGTTTGATGATTCCCAGCTCTTGCTTTGTTAACATATTATATATGGAATTTGGAATTTAAGGAGCATGGACACTTTGTAGAGCGACCTTAGTTTGAGAAAGTGTGTGTTTGTGTGTGTGTGTGTGTGTGTGTGTGTGTGTGTGTGTGCGCGCGGTCATCCTGTCCATTTTAATAGCTTCCTGCCATCATATCTGGAATGTATCATGGTACCAAATCCTTCATGGGTATAAACAGGCTATGACATAATGTGCTTTTCTTTGTCTGTTTACCTCTTTTTTTTTTTACCTTTGCCCTAGATTAGAAATGGACAAGGCTGATTGTTTGAGATAACTTAATCACCCGGGTTCTCACTTAGATAAGACTCACTTGACTGTGGATTAAACTGTTTCTTATTGATTAGTTGCTTCAGTGCATTAATTTACCTTTTAACTCCCCTCTGTTTTAACTGTGCTGCTGGGCTTGACATTAAAGCAGGGCCTCTAAATCTCATAATATCAAAAATAACCATAAAATTGTCTGAACTGTTTTACGCTTTGCTAATAAGCATCTGTGTATGATTGTTTCTTGTTATAGCTGTTCTTCAGAGCTGGAACCTTGGCTAAGCTGGAGGAACAGAGGGATGAGCAGACCAAGTGCAATCTAACCCTCTTCCAAGCTGCCTGTAGAGGTTACCTGGCACGGCAAGCCTTCAAGAAGAGAAAGGTATGCGGGATTCTATACTGAAATGAAACGAGCAGTCCAAATGTTGTCGTAATCTTAACTGAAGCCTAAATACAACTGTGACAGGTTTTTGTCAACAAAGTTTGAAGGGGAGAAACTTGAATGAATTCATTTTAATTGGAAAAAACAATGTAATTGCAACACACTGTCTATTGTTTTATTTTTAGTTTTTGCACAGCTGAGCAAAATGAAGTAGGTCAAGTAGGTGAAGGATATGCACTTCAGAATTGAGAGCCAATTTTAGATCTAGTTTGTTCTGTTCTTGGGGTAGATATAACCAGCCCTGCTGTAAATCTTCAGCTAATTGCAAATAGGTTCTCTGAATCTATTGGCTGTACCCCATCCCTCGTTGTAATCCATCCAATCAGCTTTCCCAAGGCGATATTTGATTGTGACATTTCCATTTCTGTGACATTTTATCAGTCCACTCCCCTGAATTGTAGCCTTATCAAACATGCTGCTGACTCTCATACCCATCCATTCCATCCATCTTCCATTTTTCTACCAGGACCTGTGTGAGTCTATCTCTCTGGACCTCATGTGTCCTCTTGTGATGTATAGAGCCCTGCAGTACTTTTCTCCCTCTATGATTACGTTGTACTATTTAAGTGAATGTGCCACTTCAGCTGGGCTGTGATGAACCAGCAGAAATGGAATTACATTACTTATCTCTCCATCCACTATGACATACTGTTAGGAAGCACGCATGTTGTTTAGTTGTAATATGATGCCAGTCAAACATTGTCAATTGTTACATTGTCAATGTTGTAATGAGGTAAATCAAATTGACCTTTAAAATATCTGGACTTTCAGATATCATATTTTGGTACCTTTCTTTTTAAATCAAATACTTAAATGTATGTTGGTCTAAAATTGGAACCCCAATACATTTTCTCTATCAAGTTCAGAAGTGATTATTTACACAGCAAAGCAGGGTAAGTGCCTGTTGCTTTACAATGGCTAGAAATTGAAGAAAATCAACACCAAGGATCCTTTCAAAATTGCTAGGCAACTGTGCAATTACAAAATCCATTAGCAAAGAAAATTTTTTTCCTCTGCCCTCTTTAGCCCCCTCCCTCCTGCACATGTATCTATAATAGAAAGATGAGACTTTATTTCATCTCAATTGTATTTATCTCAAACTCAACTTAGGTTGGCAAGGTAACATGAAATATGCAGTTATGACGCACCCCTCATCGAGTCAGGGTTGCAGAGGTTTATTTAAGCTGTGGACATTTTAATGCACATTACTTTCATATCCACAAACCAATTCATTTTGATTCAGTTCAAAAGAACTTGAGTTATTCCCAATGAAAGCAGACCACACAGCTAGCAGCATCCTAGGTAGAGATTAAGGACTAAAAAAACCAGAGAGTAACTGCTAGCCTGAGTCTAAGGGTAACAAAACTCTTTGGAGCCTTTTGTAAGGGCCCTCTACCGCCAAGGTGGTCATATAGCTTCTCTAAAACCATACAAGGCTAAATATTTCCTTCTGTTTCTAGTCCTTGAGTTAAGCTAAGCTAACTGGCTTATTACTCTATTCTAAACTTGCATTAAAAAATTCCACACTTGAAATGATAAATGAATGGACGTCATGTAGTTATTGAATTTCTTTTTTTTTTTCAAACACTTCAAAACTAGTCATAAAATACCAAAGCTTTTAATAATATTAGGTCAGTTTCTGTACTCAGCAGTGAGAGATATAAAACTGTGCTTGGTAGAGAAATTACAAGCAAGATGCTGTTCTGAAAGTGGCTTTGCAGCCCCTTGCTACCCCTTTTCTGCCTTTTTCTAACCAACAATTTATTCCCATACAGCTGTTGCATGCATGGTAAATACAGTCTCTCCTTGCAATAATTATCTGAAGGGCATCTTTTCCCCTGATTATCATTCTGTTTATATTATTCCTGATTCAATTAGTCAACACCAGACTTGGGGAGGATGCAGGGATGTGTCGAATATTGAGTAATTTCCATCTCTCTTTCTCTTACTGTGAAGATTTGCAGAGTGTGTTGTTGTCGAGTCTTAGAATAATCACTGTATAATAACATCGACTGGCACCCTTGCTGTTTCCCTGATATCCCTCTGCGAAAACAGATCTGGTCTTCATTGCCTCTTACACTGTTTGAAGTATCCAGTCTTAGCATGTACAGTAGATGGTAATTTGCCTCTGGAATAGTGCAAGTGAGTTCTGGTGAAGCTCTCAGACAGCTACTGGTTGATGTATATGGATGTGACAGGAAGTCACAAGTTGCCTTGATTGATATTCTCTGGCATGTTAACCTTGTGAAGCTGTGCCAAGCCCATGTGACATTAAATGACAAAACCACAATTTTTCCTCTTTTTTTTTTTTTTTTTTCTTTCCCCTTTCAACTGTCTCCTCAAGGGGACAACCTGACATTTTAAAAGTCTGTTATTTTGCCTCAGCAGGCACTTGCCATATTGGGAGCTTTGTCCTTCAGGTACCCTACAAATGTAGTTTTTAGAATTATTTGCATGGAATCAGCACACAGCTGAGCTCAGGCGGGGGATTCTACAGAATATCTTTTTCATTTGAAACATGCATTCCCATGGTTCTGAATCAAAGCGCAGATGATACCTTTATAGTTGCAGTTGTAAAGGTATCAGTATGCAGTGCATTGCTATAAGATATGTCTTTGGTTTAGCTTAGGGTTAAAAATGAATAATGTACAAAGTGTAGAAAGAGCCAGAATGATAAAGCTTATAGCTTATGTTTGTTTATAATGAAGAAATCCTCAGAAACCGATGTTGCTTCATTCCATCCATCCATCCATCTTCATCCGCTTTATCCGGGGCCGGGTCGCGGGGGCAGCAGCCTAAGCAAAGAGGCCCAGACCTCCCTCTCCCCAGCCACCTCCTCCAGCTTATCTGGGGGAATACCAAGGCGTTCCCAGGCCAGCCAAGAGATATAATCTCTCCAGCGTGTCCTGGGTCTGCCCCGGGGCCTCCTCCCGGTGGGACATGCCTGGAACACCTCACCCAGGAGGCACCCAGGGGGCATCCTTGTCAGATGCCCGAACCACCTCAGCTGACTCCTTTCGATGTGGAGCAGCAGCTACTCTACTCTGAGCCCCTCCCGGATGGCCGAACTTCTCACCCTATCTCTAAGGGAGAGGCCAGCCACCCTTCGGAGGAAGCTCATTTCTGCCGCTTGTATCCGCGATCTCGTTCTTTCGGTCACTACCCACAGCTCGTGGCCATAGGTGAGGGTAGGGACGTAGATCGACCAGTAAATTGAGAGCTTCGCTTTTACACTCAGCTCCCTCTTCACCACGACGGACCGGTGCAGCGTCTGCATCACTGCAGCTGCAGCCCCAATCAGTCTGTCGATCTCCGGCTCCCTTCTCCCATCACTCGCGAACAAGACCCCGAGATACTTGAACTCCTCCACTTGGGGCAGGAACTCATCCCCGACCCGGAGTGGGCACTCCACCCTTTTCTGGCTGAGAACCATGGCCTCAGATTTGGAGGTGCTGATCCTCATTCCCGCTGCTTCACACTCGGCTGCGAACCGTTCCAGTGCGAGCTGGAGGCCCTCACCCGATGAAGCCAACAGAACCACATCATCTGCAAAAATCAGAGATGAGATTCTGAGGCCACCAAAGCGAAAGCCCTCCGCCACTTGGCTGCGCCTAGAAATCCTGTCCATAAAAATTATGAACAGAACCGGAGACAAAGGGCAGCCCTGGCGGAGCCCTGTTGCTTCATTTATTTACTAAATGGCAACTTTATGCTCAGACTTTGCTGCAGGTATCTAATATCTAATACATATACAGTAAGTCTTACATGTATACAGACAATCAAACCCGAAATACATGTATAGAATATTTGGAAAAGAATGTAGTGTTTTTTTTTTCTTTTTGTTTATTAACCTTGGTTCAAATTTTTCATTCACTTCACACTGTCTTACAGTTGTCACACCTTGTTAATGTGATATGAATACCAAAATATTTATCCACAGTGCTCATGTTGTATAATCTTTTGTTTGTTTCCTATTCATTATAGACTAGATATGACAAGTGAGACCTGTTTAATTCTTCTGTCAGAGATTTGCAGCATTTTGCTCCATGTTAAGGCTTTCACTGTGTGACAAATCCTAATTGGTCATAGAGAGTACCTTCAGGGCAAAATGTACCTGATGCTGAGAATTGTGTTGCTCTAATTGGGTTTGCCCATAATCTGCTGCTGCTAGAGAGCCTCATGCATAAGCAGCATGGAAATCGTGTAATACTTGGAATTAGCTGCCAAAATGTTTGATTTAATTAATCAAAAATTAGCTTCCAGCCTTGGAACACACTCGGCGGAAACTCTCTAGTGGAGGTTGGCAAGTCCCGGGATATCTGCTTGCCCATACATATGCAATATAGCAGAAGAATGTAGTTATTTTCAAATATTGTTCATCAATGGTGCGGATGATATGGTAACGGTAGAGTTTGGAAAGTATTTATTCCAGTGATTATATAAAAGCAGCATTTAGTCTGGATACTGCCTCCATGTGGTACCTGTGCAAACAATTTGTCTGCATTCAAGCTATTGGTGCTGCATATTACATGCATTGTTGCTGGTTCTAAGGTCATAATAGGGGATCTTTTACAGATACATTTGGAAGTAATTACATCACTTTTATGCCATTGACATTCAATATGAGTTTGTATTTTGTTGTGCAAATAACTGCCTGCACTCTCACAGATTTCTCTTTGGTGACTGACTCTCCATATGTGTGTTTAGATTCAGGATTTAGCCATCCGTTGTATTCAAAAAAACATCAAGAAGAACCGTGGAGTGAAGGACTGGCCATGGTGGAGGCTCTTTACCACAGTGCAGCCCCTCATTAAAGTGCAGCTCACAGAGGACCAGATGCGGAGCAAAGATGTGAGCAAACCTCACCCAACCTGTTGAATCTTTAAGGATTTAATATATTTTTAAATGCATTCCGTGTCTGCACTATTCTACATACTGTCATCACTGTTGACATTGACCTCCAACATAACATAACATGTATCTGATATAAAACAGCTATATTCTGTATTCCAGGAGGAGATTCAGCAGCAGAAATTGAAGCTTGAGAGAGTGGAGAAGGAACGAAATGAGCTGAGACTCAATACAGATCGATTGGAGAGCAGGGTGGGTCCCCCTGCCTATGGTAGTGCATTCTGGATAGTTTTTGGAGATTTATGGTGCAGTTGCACTCTTTATTTTATTTAAAGATTTGATTACCTACTTGCACAGGAACTGTGGCCAGTAGTTTGCAACTTTGCATAACACCCCGTGTGCGTCTGCCTGTTTGTGATCAGATCGCAGACTTGTTGGCAGAGCTCGCTGATGAGAGAAGCACAAGTGAGTCAGCATCCCAATTGCTGGAGGCTGAGACTTCTGAGAGACTGCGCTTGGAGAAAGATATGAAGGATCTACAGGCAAATAAACATGAAATATATATATATGAAAGATGCACACTTAAAATTTATAGTAATTCTGAAGTTCAGTTTATTATGACTGACATGCTCTGTGTGATTATTGACTGAATTTGTGCATTCCAGGCAAAGTTTGATGCCATGAAGAAACAGTTAGAATCGCAGGAGATGGAGGTGATGGAAGCACGACTCATGAAAACATCAGAGCTAAATGGGGAGATGGACATTGATGATGAAGATGCTGGTTAGTAGAGCAAGACACTGATATCTAACATTTGGTCGTGACACCAGAGATTGCTACATGCAAGATCGAATTTGAAGATAATTCGGAGAAACTTTTCTCTGTTTTTTTGAATAACATAGTCTCGGTCATCAGTGTTTTTTAAGCATTTGTTTTAAATTCCCTAATTAATTGCACCCTGCGACACTTTCAGCAGCTTGCCTAAGCCTGCCTAATGGGCATGTCAGCTCAGGTCAGAAGCATAATTTACTGAACCACTCAGACCAGCATTATGTGCACAGTTTGAAAAATCTCCCTTATACTAATTGTAGCTGCAGGAATGAATGGCTTTGTTCAGCTGTTTCAGCAGGAGACATGGCAGTAAGACTTGGTCACATCCTGCATAATACTGTTAAGTATATTTTCCAAGTTTAGGATTAACCGCTAGGAGATTAGGATGTCCGCTCCCAGGCATACAACTAATTCTTGTTTCTGATTGGTCTCCCCCTGCTGGGAAAGAGAGCGCCTGCTGAGAGCATATTGTCCATGGGTCTTTTTTTTTTTTTTATATATCTGTGTTCCCACCTCCTTCAACCCACCTCAGCAGACAAGCCATTACAGAGCATATCAGAATTCTTAGATGAATGAGAAAGTAATCGGTGGGATCAGAGCTGGTGGCCCTGCAAGTTGTCATTATGCTATATATATGCTAATGAGCAGCACTGATGGAGGAGCCTGTGTTGGTATGTGAAGGAGAAGTGGACAGCCTCTAAAATGATAAGGCTTGGAAATGAACCTGAACCCAAATGTCTGTCTGGCTGCTGTTATAGTTCTGATAGCCTATGACAGCTCCAGAATTAAGGTTGCCTAAGAACTGTGGAAAGTGCCACTTAGACATGTCCTCCTCTAACTACTGTTGTGGTGTGCTCTGAATTCCTATCTCAGGTTTATTCAAGATAAGAGCTAAAACACAAAGCCTTCTTTGTAGTTTCCTGTTGAATACCTTGACCTTGTAAGTTCAGCATCTGATTAAGCAAAAGTTTTATTTCCAGAAAGATTATTTTATTTCAGTCTTTGAATGTGATAATCATCGCAGCCAGTGCAGTGCACTCCATAATCCCACGCATCCATCATGTCTGTGGTTTTTACGCCTCTTCCTCTGTGTACCTGGCTGGACCTGCATTAAAGTCAGGAAATGCTCAAATGTCACACAGACATTTTCTGAATTGCATGTCTTTCCTCTAGGAGGAGAGTGGCGGATAAAATACAATCGAGCCGTTCGTGAAATGGACTTTGCCAAAAAGAAACTTCAGCAGGAGTTTGATGACAAGCTGGAGACGGAACAGCAGAGCAAAAGACATGTAGAGAGAAAGGCAAGAGCAAATTACAACTTGAAATAATAATGAAAAAAAAAATCTAAATTAATTTGTCTCACACTTATAACATTTTAATTGTGGAAATGTAATAGTAATACCAGGTGTTGCACTTTCATTAAAGAATTGTGTGTGTGTGTGTGTGTGTGTGTGTGTGTGTGTGTGTGTGTGTGTGTGTGTGTGTGTGTGTGTGTGTGTGTGTGCTGCGTGTGCTGCAGCTGGCTGATTTGCAGACGGATAATGAGGATTTGCAGCGCTCTGTGCAGCAGCTGAAGAAAAAGTGCCAGAAACTGACTGCCGAGCTGCAGGACACCAAGCTTCATCTGGAGGGCCTGCAAAGTCGCAACCATGATCTGGAGAAGAAGCAGAGGAAGTCAGTTCAACTGCCTGTCCAGTTCTCTTGCATAAACACACATTGCAGAGAGCATATAGCTCTTTTCTCCTCGGATTAAGCAGCACTGGTCTACTCGCCTAATGCTAAAGTTTTCTTTAATTTGAACAGTGACTGAGATGTTCTGTAATCTGTGGAATTGCATTAGCTGAGAAAATGACTCAAGACTTTAAGCACTTGAGAAGCTATCACTGTGGCAGAATGTGATCTCTCCCCTGTGGCTAATTGAAGATGCTCTGTGGGTGAAATTATTTTCGGCTGCGCTTCAGAGAGAAAAACAGAGAATTACAACAAGCTGACAGCATGAAACACTTAGCTGTTAAGTTCACTAACCATAAGTGTTTCTGCCCTAGACAATTGAAGAAAACATTTTGCACATTATTACAACCCAATGGTAAATTGATGGCTATTAGAGGGGGACAGAAGTGGAGGCTAAAATAGAACCGATGATAGCCTGGCGCCTCCCGTATAACAAAGTCAAATTCTCTGAGTAACATACTGTGCACAGAAATGAATGATGCAGAGATCTATTTCTGAGAGATCTTTCTTTAAGCTGATTTGTTAGTTTAGAGTTTAAAATATTTTTTTTGTGTGTGTGTGTGTGTGTGTGTGTGTGTGTGTGTTTTCCAGATTTGACCTGGAGCAGAACCAGGCTCAGGCTGAGGTACAGAGGGAAAGGAGCCAGAGGGAGAAGCTGGCTCGAGAGAAAGACATAATGACTGGTGAGATGTTTAACCTCCGCCAGCAGCTGCAGGTAGGCTTCTCTCCACTACATACTCCACATGTACTCTAATGCCCTCTCTTGGGGACAACATGTCTGATGTTTCTGCTCTCTGTATGATATAACTAGGCTGGTCCAGATGTATGTTTTACAGCATGCCTTCTGCCTGCAGGACAAGGACACTGAATTGTGTGGCATGAATGTAAAGGTGCAACAACTGGAGGCAGAGCTACAGGATTTGTCCTCCCAAGAGTCAAAGGATGAGGCCTCACTTGCCAAGGTCAAGAAGCAGCTTCGTGACCTCGAGGCCAAGGTGAAAGACCAGGAGGAGGAGCTGGATGAACAGGCTGGAAACATCCAAATGCTGGAGCAGGTACAGAGGGGTGCAAATATGGTTCAGCTAGGAGTTCTTCTTGCTAATTGTTGCATATGTATCTCTCTCTCTAATACATGTTTGTCTCACATGTCATTTATATGTTAGACTAAGCTGCGGCTTGAGATGGAGATGGAGAGGCAGCGGCAGACCCACTCTAAAGAGATTGAGAGTAAAGATGAAGACGTAGAGGAGATCAGGAGATCTTGCAGTAAGAAGGTAGCCACTAATCATTCTTGCAATTTCTGCAGTTTTTTTTCTTATTTATGGCCTTTTTTTGTTGACTAACATTTACTCAGGGCTGTTTACTGCAGTACTCAGTAACACACTTTTTTCATGCTTGATTGAAAGCACAAAAAATAAGGGAATTTATGTTGATGATTTCTTTGTTGTAACAATGCTTCTGAGCAATAAATCTTATACTGTTGGAAAGCCTGTTTATTTCCCCTGAAATGGTGTCACAGTTGTAAGGAAAATGCATCTGTGGGTTTAGCACCTCAGTTGAGTATGTAGGTTGTGCCCATGAAAGACTTGCCAAATCTTTTCTGCCAGTGCCAAAGTGTTTATTCTGCTATTGACTCTTGTTTGGTGTCATTTATTGAAGTCTGATTGAAGTCTGAAAAAACAACCTATTGGCAATTAAAAAATGTTTTCATTTAGCAAAAAGGGAACTGGTACTATGTAGAAAAGCCATACACAGCCTGGCATCTCCTGCTCATGCTGGTCACCAGCTTGGTCACACACTGCTGTGGGATGGCATCCTATTTTTCAACCAGCATTTGTTGCAAGTCAGCCAGTGTGGTTGTGTTGGTCACTCTGGCACAAACAGCATGTCCAAGCTGATCCCACAAATGTTCAGTGGAGTTGAGGTCAGCACTGCAGACAGACCATTCCATCCTCTACACTCCCCAAATACTGTAGGTCAGGGGTGTCAAACTCAAATACACAGTGGGCCAAAATTCAAAACTGGAACAAAGTCGCGGGCTAACGCTAATATTTATTGAAAAAAAAATCTTCCTCTAGATATAAGAATGAATCTTTTCTTATGGACTCAAACAAGTTTTGCTGAAAAACTGAATATGGAACAAGCAAAGCTTAATACTAAACAATATATATATTAACTGTATAATACCAGTAGGCCAGCTCTAATAGTAATTTGGTATGGCTTCGCGGGCCAAATGTAATTAGGCTGCGGGCCAAATTTGGCCAGTGGGCCAGAGTTTGACACCTATGCTGTAGGTAGTCTCTGATAAACCTCGCTCTCTGTTTCTCTGTGAGGAAGATGCTCCACCACACTATCACACTGCCTCCATCAAAAGCTGTTACCCTATCGGTGCAGCAATCAGAATAGTTTTCTCCACATCTTCTCTGCAATTTGAATCTATGATAGGTCCAGATTTTGCCTACGGCAGTCTATCTTTGAACATAATGTTCTTCCACATTTTCAGGTGCCAGTGCAAATGTTGCAGACACCAGTGCAAAGGGGCCTGACCATGAAGGGCAGTCATGGCAGGCCTCCTAGCAGCCCTATTAGATGGAAGTGTGAAGTCTTTTCTGGACTACCTGGGTAGAGAGCTATTAGCAAGTTTTTATTTTTATTTTTTATGGGCACAACCTACCTACTCAACTCTGCTGCTCAACCTACAAATGAATTTTCCTTACAAATGTTGCACCATTAAAGGGGAAATAAACAGGCTTCCCAAAGATATGAGATTTGTTACTAAAATGATTGTTACAACAAAGAAATAATTGAATAATTAAAATTTCTATTTACATAGCCCAGTTTATGAAGTTCCTGAATTCATTACTTTAATTTCACTTCATCTAGGTACACATGCTGTATTGCTTTATGCCTCCCTACGAGTTATAGCTGTGGGCAGGGATTTTTGGATGTCCATCCATCTGTCCCACAATTTGTGGACACTTTCTGCTGTATGGCTTCAGGGAATTTTTTTGAAACTTTGTATACATTTTGAATTGGTTCAGGTTTGGTCAAATGTCACAGTGACTGATGTGTCTTAATTTGGAGGCAGAAATAATTATAGGATTTATTTGTTGCTATAGGTTTGAGAATTTTATAGAACTATCTAATATGAAAAAACAAATTGGCTTTTGATCTTAATGGTTTAGACTTGGTGTCCGTCAAATTGAAGTGAGTCTGGATAGTCATGGATGTAAACTGCAATGGCTTCTTACAGTTGCAAGGCAGTCATTGCAACTGCAAATGTAATGTATTCTTTAAACTGTTATTTTATTCCATGTGTCTTATTAAGTAGAAAGAAGTTAAATGGATTTCTATATTTAAAATTTTTTAATTTGACATAATGAAGCATCATGTGTGATTAATCTTAAGGCTACCAGGTCTGCTTTTGGGGGATCTATTTGTCTTTGAGAGCAGCCGTGTCTAGCAGGACGGTCGATGGTGTGTAATGTCTGACTTTATCATGGATCCAGCATTTGTGCATCTTGACACTGTGTTCTACAGCTGAAACAGATGGAGGTACAGCTGGAGGAGGAGTATGAAGACAAGCAAAAAGTGTTGCGAGAGAGACGAGAGCTGGAATCCAAACTGCTGAATGCTCAGGACCAGGTACTGTCATTACTCTGAACATGTCCGTGTAGTCAAGTCTGTGCAATTTAGTGTCTGCCACTTGTTTTGATTGGAAAGAAAATGCTTTTGAGTCTCAAGGGTTGCTATAGGTTTTCAAGGAGGAAAGTAACGATGCTGGGCTATAAAGGAGTGGTTTGTCATTCAGGTGAGCCAGAGGGATGTGGAGACAGAGAAGAGGCTCAGGAAAGACCTGAAGAGAACCAAAGTCCTTCTGGCTGATGCACAGATTATGCTGGACCACCTGAAGAGTAATGCCCCCAGCAAGAGGGAGATCACTCAGCTCAAAAATCAAGTACATCCCTTTGAACATTTTGGCATCTGCCTGCGCCCAACATAGCACGGATGTGTAATATACTTAATGATACAACAACAGAAAGCATGCTTTGAAATGTGTATTATGCACAAATCAACACAAATGAAAAAATCCCAGATTCTGGAGCTCAGTTCCACTAACGTTTGTCCCAACACCTCTTCTTCCTCCTGTTTTCTCACAGCTTGAGGAGTCAGAGTTTACTTGTGCAGCATCAGTGAAGGCTCGAAAGAGTATGGAGCTGGAAATAGAGGACTTGCATATCCAAATGGAGGATATGGTCAAAGCGAAGATGTCGGTAAGTTTTGACATCTGTTAACAATGTATCCTGAGGGTGCAACATATGTCGTTAAGTGGAACCGCACAAATTGTGTTCCAATTACCCACTTGACTAAGCTTGAATGCCAATATGTTCTGCATATGTTTCTATTGCTGTATGTTTTTGCATCTGTAACTCAGTCGATATTGTGCACGATATCACACATTCATAGATAATGAAATGTACTTACCTTTTTTCATGTTCACTTTTGATGAGAGGGAAATAATTTGCATAAATGTTTCTATACCCTTCTTTTGATGAGCAAATTAAACCAAAAACAACAAACAATGTTTAATTAACTGAGGGCTGGTGCCTGTCAAATTTTCTCTCTTCAAAATACAGCAGGGCTCGAACATTAATATGCATACATCATCAGCCCATGGTGGAATATTAAAATAATAAATGCCCTTTGGCATATGTCGGATTTCAACATTTTGCTCTAATGGATAAATAAGCTTTGTTGAATGTGTTTTTTTTTTTGCTTGCTCATTAATGGGTGTCTCATGAGAGTACTGCCTACATTTTAGACTCATGGACTGAGGATGTTTGTCTCTCTCGGGATGACACACAGAGTGCTATGTGCCTGTGCTTTGCTTGTTAATTGCTGCATTTATGGCAAGGGAAGGTCTTGTAAATGTCTGAGATTAGAGAATGCATATTGAAGGCCTGAGCCTCCCCCTGATCACAGAGGATGAACTCTAAATGGGACATCACCAGTATGCTGCACTGGCTGCACTTTTCCCTGCCTAAATGAGCCAATTGATTATCTCCAATTGGTCTTATCTTCCAGCCAGAACCCTGTCCAGATTGTGTTTCATTGCTATTAGATGAGATTCCCAGACTGCCACGGCCAGGCCAACTAATGACCATTTATCATATTCAATAGCTCATGAATAAATCCTGCCATTCTAAACTAAAGTGTGTGTTTCTCGCTCTGTTTGTGCCTTAGTTGGAGGAGCAGCTCAGCCGTCTGCAACGAGAGAAGAATGACCTGCAGTCACGCATGGAGGAGGATCAGGAGGACATGAATGACCTGATGAAGAAACACAAGGCTGCCGTAGCTCAGGTAGTCCTGCCTAAAACTTTAAACATCTGTTTGAATGCCAAGAAAAATGGAGTGTATTGCCTTCCGTTCAGCTCGAGAACTTTGTCAAGTATCTACTGTTAAGAACTTGGCTGTTCTTCAATACTGTTGCATTTGGTTGTATATTTTGTATTAGTGTAGTTGCACTTATTTTTGAAACATTAACATTATTTTCTCCAGTAGTGTCTTTGAAATTTGGAGGATATTCTCAGCTAAACATGGGGATATAATCTGTTGTACAGCAGACTACATGACCAAATATTTGACTTGGATATAATCTTGGACATTTGCATTGACAGTAATATAACAGATAACTGAGGCATACATGAACACCAACACACCTGACTCTCTGACTTTTTTTCTCTGTGCATGCATGCATGTGCATACTAGTCTGCCAGGGACTTAAGCCAGATCAGTGACCTGCAGGCCCAGCTGGAAGAAGCCACAAAGGAGAAGCAGGAGATCCAGGAAAAGGTAAAAAGAAGTATTCAAAAGCAATACAGCTCCCTGCCAGGAACCTGCCTGCTGCCTCAACACTTCTTTCTGATTAGGCTTTAGCTTTTCACTGTGTTCTCTGATTATTTTGACCAAAAATGCTCCTTTTATGTGGTAGCGTGCTTTCTTCCAGCCATTGCAATTTACATGTAAATAGTAGAAATCAGAGAAAAAGTGTCAAGGAGCAAATTTTCCCCCTCAGAATTCTTACAGTATTTAAAGGAAGGGTGGAGTACATAAACTTAACAGCCGATTAAGATGGAATAACTATTTAGGTGAAGAAGTAATTTTAGTCCTTTCAACAATCATCCCTGAACTTCAGCCAACCAGCTTTGGTCTAAATGTTTTTTTTCATTTGTAGTTCTGTTGTTATATCATTTTAAAGAAGAATATCAGGTTAATAAAGATGGCAATTGGAAGCAAGTAAGAAAATAGTGTTTTCGATATCAGCTATTGGTATGAAAAAAATGTAATAGCTGGAGATAATAGCAAAACCTTGTTACTGTGCAAGGCCAGTTTATTTTATGCATGATGTATATGGTTACTCCAATCAAGTGAAAAACCCTGAAGATTCCTTTTTGCTCTGACACAGACACACACACAGCGGATGCTTGCAGCAGAGTCATGTTTGAAATGTCAACCCATGGCGTTGTAGAAACAGATGGCCCTGTGCCAGTCATTTCTGGCTTTTGTGTCACCCCAAGCACCAACAGCTAGCTAGTGTACCTACATGAACATTCAATAAAAATAAGTGTCACTGGTTAGGACTGCAGGCAAGCTAGTTGAATACTAAGAATTTTAGTCTGGCTTTGTCTTTCCCGAGTAAGCAATGCGTTCCCTAAAAACACGTGATCTGAAGTTTGGAACATATGTTAAGATAAGATAGAACTTTATTAATCCCTCGGGTGGGTTCCTCTGGGAAATTCGACTTCCAAAAAGCACAGCAACGACCGAAGTTACAGTTACAGAATTGTTTTTTTTTATTTATATATATATATATACATATATATATATATATACATATATATACATACATACATACATACATACATACAGTGGGGCAAAAAAGTATTTAGTCAGCCACCGATTGTGCAAGTTCCCCCACCTAAAATGATGACAGAGGTCAGTAATTTGCACCAGAGGTACACTTCAACTGTGAGAGACAGAATGTGGAAAAAAAATCCATGAATCCACATGGTAGGATTTGTAAAGAATTTATTCGTAAATCAGGGTGGAAAATAAGTATTTGGTCAATAACAAAAATACAACTCAATACTTTGTAACATAACCTTTGTTGGCAATAACAGAGGTCAAACGTTTACTATAGGTCTTTACCAGGTTTGCACACACAGTAGCTGGTATTTTGGCCCATTCCTCCATGCAGATCTTCTCGAGAGCAGTGATGTTTTGGGGCTGTCGCCGAGCAACACGGACTTTCAACTCCCGCCACAGATTTTCTATGGGGTTGAGGTCTGGAGACTGGCTAGGCCACTCCAGGACTTTCAAATGCTTCTTACGGAGCCACTCCTTTGTTGCCCGGGCGGTGTGTTTTGGATCATTGTCATGTTGGAAGACCCAGCCTCGTTTCATCTTCAAAGTTCTCACTGATGGAAGGAGGTTTTGGCTCAAAATCTCACGATACATGGCCCCATTCATTCTGTCCTTAACACGGATCAGTCGTCCTGTCCCCTTGGCAGAAAAACAGCCCCATAGCATGATGTTTCCACCCCCATGCTTCACAGTAGGTATGGTGTTCTTGGGATGCAACTCAGTATTCTTCTTCCTCCAAACACGACGAGTTGAGTTTATACCAAAAAGTTCTACTTTGGTTTCATCTGACCACATGACATTCTCCCAATCCTCTGCTGTATCATCCATGTGCTCTCTGGCAAACTTCAGACGGGCCTGGACATGCACTGGCTTCAGCAGCGGAACACGTCTGGCACTGCGGGATTTGATTCCCTGCCGTTGTAGTGTGTTACTGATGGTGACCTTTGTTACTTTGGTCCCAGCTCTCTGCAGGTCATTCACCAGGTCCCCCCGTGTGGTTCTGGGATCTTTGCTCACCGTTCTCATGATCATTTTGACCCCACGGGATGAGATCTTGCGTGGAGCCCCAGATCGAGGGAGATTATCAGTGGTCTTGTATGTCTTCCATTTTCTGATGATTGCTCCCACAGTTGATTTTTTCACACCAAGCTGCTTGCCTATTGTAGATTCACTCTTCCCAGTCTGGTGCAGGTCTACAATACTTTTCCTGGTGTCCTTCGAAAGCTCTTTGGTCTTGGCCATGGCGGAGTTTGGAGTCTGACTGTTTGAGGCTGTGGACAGGTGTCTTTATACAGATGATGAGTTCAAACAGGTGCCATTCATACAGGTAACGAGTGGGGGACAGAAAAGCTTCTTACAGAAGACGTTACAGGTCTGTGAGAGCCAGAGATTTTCCTTGTTTGAGGTGACCAAATACTTATTTTCCACCCTAATTTACGAATAAATTCTTTACAAATCCTACCATGTGGATTCATGGATTTTTTTTTCACATTCTGTCTCTCACAGTTGAAGTGTACCTCTGGTGCAAATTACTGACCTCTGTCATCATTTTAAGTGGGGGAACTTGCACAATCGGTGGCTGACTAAATACTTTTTTGCCCCACTGTACATATACATACACACAGAGACAAATATAAATAAAATATACAAAGGGGATAAATAGAATAAATAGGAATAAAAAATAAAAATACAAGTGAATTGCACATTTCAAGTATTGAGTCTATTGCACTGTTGACTATTTACAAAAAGTATTGCACAAGGTATTGTACAGTGAGGTGAAGAGGCACTACAGCTTAGTTGTTCCCCCCTCCTTTGTCCTCCTGTTTCCCCTCCCTCTCCCCTCCAGAGAGGAGTTAAACAGTTTGATGGCGTGTGGGACAAAGGAGTTTTTAAGTCTGTTAGTTCTTGTCTTGGGGAGAAGCAACCTGTCACTGAACAGACTCTTCTGATTGTTTATGGCCGTGTGCAGAGGATGCCCAGCATTGTTCATAATGTCCATCAGTTTCTTTAATGTCCTTTTCTCTGCCACTGTCACCAGAGTGTCCAGCTTCATGCCGACCACAGAGCTAGCCCTCCTGATCAGTTTCTCCAGCCTGGATGAGTCCTTCTTTGCTGTGCTGCTCCCCCAGCACACCACAGCATAGAAAAGTACTCCAGCAACCACCGACTGGTAAAACATCCTCAGGAGCTTCCTGCAGATGTTAAAAGACCTCAGCCTCCTGAGGAAGTACAGTCGGCTTTGGGCTTTTTTTATACAGGTGCTCTGTGTTGCATGACCAGTCCAGTTTATTGTCCACCCACAGCCCGAGGTACTTGTAGACCACCTCCACCTCCTCCCCCTCTATCTGAACCGGCAGTGGACCTTCTCTGGACCTCCCGAAGTCCACAACCAGTTCCTTAGTCTTTGAGATGTTGAGTTGCAGGTGGTTTGTGTGACTCCATGCGACAAAGTTCCTCACCAGACTTCTGTACTCCTCTTCCTGATCATCCCAGATACACCCCATGATGGCCGTGTCATCTGCAAACTTCTGAATATGGCATAATTCAGAGTTGTAGCAGAAGTCAGAGGTGTACAGGGTGAAGAGAAGAGGGGACAGCACAGTTCCCTGTGGTGCTCCTGTGCTGCTGACCACAGTGTCAGACGTGATGTCCTTCAGCCTGACGTACTGTGGTCTGTCGGTGAGGTAGTCGGAGATCCAAGCCACCAGGCAGGGGTCCACCTCCATCCTGTTCAGTTTTTCCTGAAGCATACAGGGCCGGATGGTATTAAAGGCACTGGAAAAGTCAAGAAACAGGATCCTGACCGTGCCTTTTCCCCCATCCAGGTGTGAGTGGGCTCTGTGTAGGAGGTACAGGATGGCATCCTCCACTCCGACACCCGCCTTGTATGCAAACTGTAGTGGGTCCTGGGCATGTTGTACCTGTGGTCGGAGGAAGTTGAGGAAGAGCCGCTCTAGAGTCTTCATAAGATGTGACGTCAGTGCCACCGGTCGGAAGTCATTCAGCTCATTGGGCCGGTTCTTTTTGGGGACCGGGACGATGCAGGATGTCTTCCATAGGGCGGGCACTCTCCCCAGTCGCAGACTGAGGTTGAAGACTCGTTGTAGCGGCTCCCCAAGTTCAGCAGCACACGCCTTTAGCATCCTAGGACACACCTTGTCTGGGCCTGCTGCCTTTCTGGGGCGAAGCTTCCTCAGTTGCCTCCTGACCTGATCCACTGTGACACTGGGAGATGTTTGGGAGGAGGGGAGGGGGGGAGATGTCTTGCTGCTGAGAGAGGGATTGGAGGAGGGGGGTGTCATGGTGTCAGGAAGGGGGGGAAGCGAGGGAGGCAGGAGAGTGGGGAGAGGACTCTGTAGTGAAGGTGAGGGTGAGGGGGTTGTGGGCTGGTCAAACCTGTTGAAGAAGTTGTTGAGTTCGTTTGCCTTCTCCACAGTCCCCCCCACTGTGCTTTTCTTGGTGTTGTGGCCTGTGATGGTTTTCACACCATTCCAGACCTCCCTCATATTGTTCCTCTCCAACTTCTGCTCCACCTTCCTCCTGTAGGTGTCCTTTGCTTCCCTCAGGCAGCGTTTCACCTCCCGCTGTGCTGCTTTCATCTCCTCCTTCACTTTGCCACTTGTTGCTCCAAAACCTGTATCTTTATACTTTTCAGTATTAATGATGCCTTCACAGATGTGCAAGTTAGCTAGTGCAATGTGCTCTAATGTATCTGCCAGCCATCACAGATGCAGGCTTTTGAACTCTGTACTGATAGAAAGCCAAATGATACATCTTCTCTTTAGAACAGAAAACAAAGAAATCATAAAGAATTTCAATCCATCTTCAATGATCTCTGGCTCAAAGAAGACCCAGCTGTGTTTAAATTTTGTGTTTTGTTTTTTTTTCTTAGCGTGGTAGAATTTTACAGCAACTGTGTTCACTCACAGTGCCGAAGTATTCCCGAGCCCTTGTAGAGGTTTTCACTGAAGAATCTGAACGCATCTGTCCCCTGGTCGTAGATGTCTTTGGATTCTGTGATGTTATGTATTTTAGATCACAAATGAAAGATAATTTTTAAATTCTTGAACTTTTGATGAAAGAGCCCTCATCTTTTACTTCTGGAAAAGTCAGAAGATGCTCTTTTTGTGTCTCATTACAGATTTTTTTGCTGAATTTATAGTGAAAATCTTTTCAAGTTTTTGTTTAGCATTACACAAGTTGCCCATTTTTTTTCAACATTATGTTTATTAAAGTTTTACATATATATGTAACCGACCCAGAGTTTGGGCCTGTAAAACAGATTAAATGTTCCTGCAAAACAGGGAAATGATGAGACAGAGACGACTGGTGAAGTTTCTCTTTGCCTCGCTTCTGCCATATTTATTTATACAATCACATGTATTTTTAACTTGCAGCATCACCATTCTCTATATACAACAGAAATAACAATAAAACCGTCTGTATGTTCAAGCTGCAATACCACGATCTTTTCATGGCAAACAAAAGTACTTCACGTGTAGTGACCTTCAAATCATTTACTCGGCTATTCTCTCTGAATGACAATTCAAAACAATATGAAATGCGTGTTCAAATACATTTTTACCTCTATTTAACTTTTAACCCAAATACCTATGTATTCTGATTGTTTTAACCAATTTAGCTTAGTAGCTCACAAATACATGAAAGAGTCATGTGTATGCTGGCAGGCTTAGCTTTAGCTTTAACATTCTCAAAATCACTTTTCAGAACCAGTAAACAGTCGTTTTTCACTGCCAACAGCAGATTAACATTCATATTCACAATATCAGGACACAACAAGGAGCTTATTCAGCTAAACGACCCGAAATAAGTGAAGAAAGGAAACCAAAATGGCGCCCGCGGCTGGCTGGGCTTTGGCATTTTTTTCAGCCCTTCTACTTCATAAAACGTAACCAATAACAGCGTTTACCCGTTGATTTATACCCCCACATTTAGCTATGTTTCTTATCAATATTTTACAACCGTTTTACTATAGTTTTACCGGTTACAAACCTGCAAAACAGGGAAATGATGAGACAGAGACGACTGGTGAAGTTTCTCTTTGCCTCGCTTCTGCCATATTGGAGAGGAGGACCTATGACCTCGCTATTCTGTCTCACTGAACAATGCGCCACCCGGAGGCTGGGGGGTGCAACTACCTCATTACACATGGTTCACTTCGGTGACAAGTCTCTCTTTCTTTTAACAAGTACTACTCCTGATGTGACCGCACATTAGTGTGTCACATATACATATATAAAGTACATAAGTTGCCCATTTTGTGTAATATAGTGTTTGTGTTTATAGTTTTTGGTTTTGGAAAAGCACAATTAATCTGCAGGAAAATGTTTTTTTAAGACTCTGTGGCTGGGGAACTGAAATCCTATATCCAGCTTTGGGTATAGTTTATTGAACTGTTGGACTTGGCATTATTTGAACTTGCTGTTTGGGCTTTATGTCTATAGTTTTCATTCTAGTTGCCAGAAATTGAATAAAGACTGTTGACTTTAGTGTTCACCTAAATCTTTCTCTAGCAGGTCAAAGTGTTCACTTATTTAGAGAAATCCCAAAAATGAATCGGCAAGTGCTAATGTTTACATGGCAATCATCAGCAAATTGCCATTGTGAGTATGCTAGTCTGCAGATTTTAGCACATATATCAAAGCCTTCCAAATGTGACAGATGGTGTGGCTAATGGTGTGGTTGCAAATTCCAATTTTTGTTTTCACACTGCACTTGCTAAGTCACAAACAGATCTGAATTATACAACTGTAATAAACCATAGTGTCCTTGCCTGATTTACCCTATTTCTGAGCTGATTGGTCAAATTACTGCATTTTGTGCTTGAGGTGTCTGTTAATGGTTGAGGTCTGGCATAAATGTGGATTCATGTGATACAAAGATTAATGCTTCTGATTCAGGCCTATGTTGATAAGTGCTTTTATCATGTTGTACTGATGGAATAATATTTGTTCAGAAGACAACCTCTGTGTTCGATATGTCATGTATTAATGCATGCCTATTTCCTTTTTTGATGCATTTATTTACAAAATGAATTTCGTCTGGTAGATTAAATGTGAATTTAGGCATGGCAAAGTTTAGCATAAGTGTGAATGCACATTATACGACCACAGCTTGGTGTTACTAGACTGTATTTTATGGCTGCATGGTGAACTAAACAAAATTGTGTGCTATAATCACAGAATCAAAACACAGAAATAATAGCACACTGTTAGTTTTGGGTCACTCAAGGCCCACCCATCAGAATATTTTTGGCGATACCCAAGTAGCACAGCAGGGCTGTAAGGCATTGTTAAAACCTGTCAGAGTAAGCAGTGATAGCTATCTAAAGCATCTGACCTTGAAGTGGTTATCTTATCCCCAGTAGGAGAAAAATCTGGATTCTTTAGTAATATCAAAGGAGAACTCCAAATCCTCCTTGTCTCTGATGCAAAGTCCCTTATTAGGTGCCATGCTGGCTTTTGGACCAGTTTTGTTGTGATGTGTCTTTCTTCCTTTTATCAGTCATGAGAAAACCATTCAGATGGAACACAAAAAAAAAACGTGCTTTGCATGAAGCAAAAGCTTTTCTAAAGGCTTGTGAAATTACTGTGGCTTGCTGTTACTCAGTTTCAACAACAAGCTCTTCTTTTAACTATTTGTTGTACATTTGGGGCTTATCTAGAGCTTATTATTCACGCTGTATACCAAATATTTATATTTAGAGACTTGGATTACATTTATACAAAACTGCAGTTTGGTTTTAATACATGCACACATCAGCACTTCATTTTAATTTTCACAGATCTCACTTAAGAGGGGGCGCAAAAACCAGAGGTCAAGAAGGTGTACAGTGGAAATTGCTCTTCAAGAGTGTTTATTTGTGTAAATATGTGTGTGTGTCCTCCAGCTCCATTCGCTACAGAACCAGTTAGAGTTCCAAGAACAATCCATGGTGGAGAAGTCACTTGTGAGCCGCCAGGAGGCTAAAATCCGTGAGATAGAGACCAAACTGGAATATGAGAAAACGCAGGTTAAGCGGTTGGAGGTAAGATGATGTGGACAAATGTGAAAGCCATGCATTGCCAACCTGTTAATTGGATTCTGACACTTAATTTCCGAGTAATTTTAAGACAAAGGCCTTAAAAAGAAAGTTATAGTGCCGCTTGCTTTGCTCCGTACTGTCTTTCTAGATAACAAAAGTGTCCATCATGGAATGAATTTAATTAGGTTCTTATAAAGACAGTCAGTTGATGGTCACCTTCCCTGTTATTCACCTTAAAAATGAATTAAAATGAATTTGGACAAAGGGCAACTCATAGCACTGTTCACATTTCCATTTTGTTATTATTAATGGCATAACTGACAGTGGCCAGCTGCAGGCAGCTGAGAAATGACTTAAAACAGTACAAAGAAGATAATTTATCTTGAGTGTTGTTCACTTGTCTGTACTATATGTGCCCTTAACATGTTCGTCACCTGCTTCCCAGAGTCTGGTGGGTCGTCTGAAGGAGAATCTTGAAAAGTTGACGGAGGAGAGAAATCAGCACATCACTGCAGAAAACAGGGAGAAAGACCAGAATAAACGCACGCAGAGGCAGCTAAGGGACATGAAAGAAGAAATGGCAGAGCTGTCCAAGAAGGAGGCTGAGGCAAGCCGCAAGAAACATGAGCTGGTAAGGCCATGGGTGATTTGTGACCTTATGGTACTCACTGGTGTTTACACTGGAGGAGCTAACCATGCTCCAATCCATTCACCAGGAAATGGACATCGAGAGCTTAGAGGCAGCAAATCAGAGCTTACAAGTGGACCTTAAGTTAGCCTTCAAGAGGATAGGGGATCTGCAGGCTGCCATTGAGGATGAGATGGAGAGTGATGACAACGACGACCTAATTAACAGGTGAAGTGCAGATTTATTCTTTGTTTCATTAGATGCCACACTGCAATGTAGCTAGCTGCCTTAGGTACCACAGGGCATTCTCTTTGTATGTTGGAAGAAAGTTACCAAATGAGATGTGCTAGCTTTTTCACCAGGCTGTCAATCATAACATGTTCTTTCTCCTATGTCTTCCTGCTTCAATTTCTAACCTCTTTTGAACAAAGTCATACTACAGTCTGTGAGTTCCCCAAATACTTCTCAAATGGTTTAATTCTGCTCCATGCTTTTGATCTTTTGTCTCTTTGTTGTTTTTTCTGGTTTGGTTACACGTTTCCTCTTTGCAGTTGAGAGGGTTATGCTGGCTCTGAGCCCTCAGATGTAAACACTAACTGCAATATTACAGACCTCTAAAAAAGAAGACAGTGCACTCACCAGCTCTGTTTGAGCAGAGGGCATAGGTTGTTTTACTGCTTTACAGTACACAGTTATTTTATATGTGCTTAAATTGCTCTTATGTTCTGTCCTCCTCTTGCAGAGTATCAGAAAAAATGTATCTCACGTTCTCTGTTTTCTTTTTCCTTTTGGTGTCTTCCACACTTCTGGCAGTTTGCAAGACATGGTGACAAAATATCAGAAAAGAAAGAACAAAACGTGAGAATGGAAAATGCTTCCTTTTGTTTCTGTCATTATGGTTGTTTTCAAGTTTGTTTTGTTTTTTTTCGGCACCCATTTTAACCGCAAGGGAGAATAATGCAGTATACCTTATCCTTTCATTCTTTTTGTTCACGGTAACACTGTGAGACGAAGTAATTTTAAATAGAATAGAAAGCAGTGTCTGTGTTATACGTCTCTGATAAAAGCTATGCTTAAAGGATGGCCCCGGTGTTTCATTTTATTTCGTGCCAAGTGTCTGGCGGTGTCCGTACACAGTCCGCCTCATTAGAGATTTCAAGGCTTGTTTGTTTGATGTTAGATGAAATGTAAACTAGAATGAAAAATGGAGTATAAGGCTAAATGTTGAAGTTTTTCCTCCTTTAAACCGTTCTCACTGCTTTTGAAAATATGAACCAAAAGAAAAACCATTTTTTTAAGAAACGTGATAATGCTGCATCATTCTCTCTATGAATAATTTTGCGTCAAACATCGTCCTCATTCACCGCTCACCACTTTGTTAAAATCAAGAGTTTGCATTTTTGCACTGACTTTTCTTTAATTGTCTTTTTGTTCTTCTAAAGCTTTTCCAAAGCACATGGAGCACATCTCAGTGAATGCAGCACTGTGATGCATCAATGCAAAATTATAAATGTAATATTCATTTACTGCACTTTGCATGATAAGAGACTAGGGGTGAATGATATCACCTGTGTAATGATATGTGATGAAAATTTCCAATAATGGCTTGAACTGACAATACAGAAAGAAAAGTAGTGAGTGCTCCAGCAATGCTCGGTTAAATCAGTTGTTGGGTCACATACATCATTTTTGTCTTAAATGATGTAACAAGTTTGTTGTTTCCACTTTTAGCTGGAAGATGCATATTTTGCAAAGCACCATGCTTTGTTAGAGGTCGTTGAAGTAGCTCCATTTTAGGTACTAAATCGGCATAGGATGCTCTCATGCGGCTTTTGCTCTCAGACATGTCTGGGTTTGTTGTTGCATGCACTGGGGAAGGTAGATACATGGTGTTGCTGTAGCAATGATATTGATCATGCATAATCAGGCAGCTCTATAGGAGATATGTGTAGTAATATGAAACAATTACAATTCTGTGGTTGCCTGAATGTATCTTCAGTCATCTGCTTTTTTTCTGTGACAGTTTGGTGAAGATATTTTCAGTGTTTAATCTTATGGGAGTAATTTACATGTGCTCTGGAAAACCTTAAGCATGATTGTGTGAGTACTGCTTGTGAGTGTATGTCCTGTCTGCATATACAGCAAGTGGTGTGAACAACACAGTCCACTACTTGAATGTTTTGACTCAAAGCTGAGCTTTTGATTTCCTTGTATTCAAACATTCTACTAATCCAATCTTATTTTACAGTACTGTGAAACATTTAACTGAAAATATAAAAGTTCATCTTGTCTCTCGTGTTAAATGTGGTTATTTATTTTTACTCAACCCTCTTTTCTTTCATTTTCAATGTAGTAAAAGGATTTTGGCATGCTGAATAATTAACTGTCAATGCCAGCATAATCTTCTGTTTATGGCAAATATCCATAGCTTTCTACATTAACCTTTGATTGCTTTTTCAAAGGAATATGCTATTGTGCCTTTATTAATCACTTTGTCTTTCAATTTTTCATCAAACAGTCCATGTGTATCCGTGCTTTGCCTTTCTTTTTGTGCAACTCGAGGCAAAGAGCAACGATTTGCCATGTTTACTTAATTACATTTTCCCTCCTTTGACATCATTGCATTAACAGCATGGATGAACAGTAATGGAGGTGGTGATTTTCTCCTAATTATGAAGTGGATTTTCCAGATGAATTACATTACTATTGAATATTTTGTACTTAATATTTCAAAGCAGAGGTTGCAATTCTTGGATTAATGTGATTGTAGTGTCATTTACATTTCTGATTGCAGCACAATACTTTGCAAGGCAAGAAAAATTACCTTTTTTGTCACCAGGTGATAATTATCCTTGAAGTTCAAGTTAATTACATCAGAGTGCAATGTGTCCACGGTTTGACGTAATTAGCTCTTGTACAATAAAGACCATAAATGTATGGTTTAATGTTTCTGTTATTTAGCACTTACACGATAGCACCAAACCATACATGATTTGATGCTGACTGTAAGTATTTGCGACAAAGATTTACAACCAGTGTAGACCAATTGTCAGAAGCGATTAATGTTCACGTCTGAAGTCTTGGGGCTTGTTTGTATCTGTGGGCCTCAGGACTGGTTAGCTAGTGTGAGGCCAAGGACAAATCGTTTGTGACACCATTTGCACAGCACTCAATTGCAAGCCACCTTTTATTTTGCACGCCTGTGTGTTAGACTGAGGGTAGGAGATGGAGATAATTTTGCTGTGGGCTGGTTTCAGTATTTTGGTGTGTAATATATCATGTTAAAAAGTCACAGCATCAGGGAGATGACAAATGGGTAACATGTGTAATCAACACGCCGGTATTAACGAAGCTATTATCTCTCTCTTTTTTTTTTTTTTCTGGTGGGCTTTTATCAGTTGTATTTACTATGCGAAAGAGAGTAGAGGGAGTGTGAAATGAAGGGCTGGCTTATTATAGCTTGACTTGGACTCACAATTTTCACCTTTTGCCTCAGAAGGCACTACTCAGACTCTGCAATGGGCAGGGTTTGTGTAGTAAAATTATAACCAGACCACTTAATCTCGCTGGGATCATCATTACCTGAAAATTGGCCCCTGAGTTAAGATATAAATGCTCTTAGAAAGCCTGAATAACACTTAAAGAACCTAATGCTCCTGGCGCTCTGCGCTCACTCCCTGACGATGCCCTGCTTTCACGCAGACCACCACAAAGAATGGAAGAAAGAACACAATTTGTTCTGAGAGGAGAAAAAATGAATGTGTGACGCAGAGATTGGTGACAAAGGAGACACTACTCTCTTCAGTGGGAGACCTATGTAAATGCACATATGGTATCTAGAGCTATTATGGAGGCTGGAGCTGTCTAGCTGTCATCTCACACCTCTTGGAATACTGTGTTTGCACCTTATAAGCAGTTTGCCACATTTTCCAGTGCTCAGAAAGAAAAGCTAGTCCACAGAGACAGATCTGTTACCTACATTGCTGTTTGTTATTTTTAATGGTGCTCAGCTTGATATAGACACAAGATGAACTATATATCTACAATTGTGATATGTGAAGCAATTATTTTAGATGGATGAAACGTGATTGTTGCAACGGTATCTTAGGTAAGGCATAGCGCCTTACCTAAGATACCGTTGCAACAATCACGTTTCATCCATCTAAGACGAAAAAAGATAAAGAGGAACTGCAAATTGGATCTCTCTATAATGAACCTTAATTTGTGTATTTAATATAGAGGATGTTGTCTTGAACGTAAGAAGTGTCTCTTAAGAATGTAATTTTCTGCTCTGCTCAGAAACACAAGTCAAACATACTTTATGCCTTCATAGCATATGTGTGTCTTTGCAATTTCAAAAGTGTGAAATGTGAAAATTTATTTTCACACATCATGCAGCCTAAGAAGGCAGTATATCTCGCACTGAAGGGAGGGAAGGGAAAAAAAGAGAAGAGGATTTTTCACTTAATGTAATTTGACCCCAGTGTCAGTATTGACTTAGAGGTTATGCCACTTTGCTCACCTCCTTGTGTCACTTTAACCTCCTAGGACAATGGGATGCATAACACAGAATATTCACCAAAAAAAGAAAAAAAAATCAACTGGGATCTGCTTAGCTCTTTCATCCAGATCTGTAAGTCTCTGTTTATTGATTGCCATGTCAAGCATAGGGCCATGGGGCTGTCTCAAGGCTCCACTCCAATAACAATCACCAGGGACGACAGGTGACAAGTCACACAGATGCTAGCAGCTTGGAACCAGCCAAACAAGTTAATTATACTTCCAGGAGCTTCATCTGCATACCGCCTTTTCACTAATGCATTTGCAGCACATTTGTCTCTTGTACGGACACCAAACTGTTGCATGGCGTCATACTAACCCCTATTTTTATATGAGAGAGAAATAACTGTAACCTGCTAACAGAAAGTTTTTAATATGTGAAATCAAACACCTTTTTTTTTCTTGGCTGTGTAATTTATGTAATCTGACACTATATAAAATACTTGATGTATTTCTGGAATTTAACATTAAACAGCCAAGTGACGATCAAAAGAACACATCCCTACATTTCTTCTTTGTGTGGAAGATTGTTCTACTTAAAGAAGAAAAATTTTAAGATGAGTATTTTTGCTGTTGGAAAGCCCTGGATGCTCTATATCAACTCTAGCTGATTTGGTTTCTTCACAGTGGAGAGGAGATGGACACAGATTCAGAAGTGGAGGACCGTGTGGACGGAGTCAAGTCTTGGCTCTCCAAGAACAAAGGCTCCTCCAAGACCATGTCACAAGAGGGAAGTCTGAAGAGCACCAGGTTAGTGAAAGCTTTCCATGCTTTTTGTCAGATGACCGTATAATTCCCCATTATAACAGTGATGAAACTACCCACATCGCCAGCCTTAAAAAGGCTCACGATTACCTGGGGCAGTTTGCAACAGAAGGATGAGTATTTCATGTGATTAGGTGTCATCTCTCTCTCCCGGTAATCTGTCTAATGACAGGAGGCAGGATGGGGAAGCGGCTGCTGTCAAATTTATTGAAGTGGCCTGTGGCCAGTTGGCACGCCTGCAAAATGACGCCTCTACCACAGTTAGATAGATCTTCTCACTGGTTGATTGCCTCACTTTCTACAGTGTACACTGTGCATAACAGCAATAGCCAGAGGTACTGAATGTGTTCCCTGACTCTTGAATGGTTTCAAGGACAAAATGAAAATGACAGATTTATTCTATAACAAATTGACATCAGTGTGTCAAAGTATGAAAATGTAACCTTTCAGTTACCACATATAAGCTGTCATAGTTGTCATACATCAGCTGTGAATATTTCACGAAATTAAAATTGAGAGTTCCGGCTTTAAATATGCAGTATTTTTCTTCTTGTGTTCTCCTGGTTGTCATTTTTCTTATGCGACTCTTTAGATATTCAGCAAATGCAGATGCCAAAGAGATGAAAGAAGGTAAGGAGAAGATTAATGACAAAGATGGGAAAGAGGTAGAGCCGAGCAGATCGGTGTCTGTCCTGAGCTCTCTGAGCTACCGGAAACGCTCCAATCTGAAGGACTCCATAGGAGGTACAGGCGATGACAGCTCCCTGTTCAACACTCTCAAAGAACAGCCTGACACACTAGACCATGCCTCCATTCGAAAATCTAAATCAAAGTCTGGAGACCTTCAGGAAGATTGGAAGAAGAGTCGGTCACAGGAAGACTTAGAAGACAAAGGTTCTGTCATCTCTTTAGCCTATTCTGAAGCCACCAGCAGAGCCAGGAAGGGTTTGGAGTCCCGCTGGACTTCACGCAGCAGCCCTGAGTTTGATAAAGAGTCCATGGTATCCTCTGTGGGTCCCAGCAGGATGTCCACCCGGAGAGCAATGATGGACATGGATGATGACAATAAGTCAACTATCAGCAGTGTGAGCCGATCCAGCCCTCGATCGCTCCATCGCAGCACATCTTGGAAAGATGAGAGACGCAACAGCTCTCGCTTGTCCGTTGCCCGCAGCTGTGGCCTGAGTGAGTTTGGCCTACACGTAGATGACGATGATGACGGCCAGAGTGTTGCTTTTAGCAGAGGGGGAGCCTCGCCTTACAGTCCCCGCTCACGCAGTCGCAGCCTTTCTACATCAGCTCAAACACGCTCATCAGACAACAATCCGCTTGACACGTCAGACATTAAATTAGTCACCCATCGAAACTACTTGGACCCTGACCTAGAGGCTGCAATTAATGAGGTGCTGAGCTTCAAACCTATTAAGTTCAAACGCAGCAAACTTGATGAGTCTAGTGATGAGGACAAGGATGAAAAGATGAAACAAGTGAGTGAGGACAGTAGGAAGAAGGTTGAAAGTGAAGGGCTGGGCTGCAGCACTTCTAACCCGCTTCGTTCTTCATTAGGCTCTACTCTGGAGCACAGTAACAGGCCAACAAGCACCAGCAGCTCTCGTAGTTGTCTAGATAAAAAAGGTAAAGTTTCATCATCTGAGAGCTCCTCATCGTCAGATGACCATCACAGCAGAAAGAGCTCAAAGTTGAAAAAGGGCAAGAAGAAATCCAAGAAGAGCTCTAAGAAAAAAAGCGAATCAGAAGACTCTTCTTCCTCTTCAGAGTCTTCGTCCTCCAACTCAGCCATCTCCTACCGCAGCTCCAGTAGTATTAAAAAGTGCCCTAAACAAGAATCTGATGACGACGAGAAGGAACTTCCAGGTCATGGAAAATCTAGTAAGAAGGAAACAAAGAAGAAGCAGAAGAAAATGGACAGCTTGGTGATGAAGTACCTGTACAGGCATGACAGTGACTGATACTGAACGAAGGTGATACTTGGTGTGGTGATAACCCCGAGCCTGCCATAAAGTTTGGTCGTCTGACTTAAAATACTAACGTTTGCTATGTGTGACAGTTTCTTTGTTTTTAGTTTGGTTTTTATTCATCATTTTGACTAAATGGTCCGTGTGAAGAACAAATGCTGATTTGTACTACTACCAGTGTTCTTGACAAACATGACACAGGCCTATTGATGCCTACCACCGTTTTTCCTTTGCTTGTACTGACATTTGTCTTAATTTAAGCTTCACATTTTTCCATACACTGTAGTGATGCCTCTGGTTTGCATTACACAAACTCCTTGAGTTTTATTTTTAAATTCCATTAGAAACAACAGTTTATATTTAGGTTTAAAGTAATCCATCACTGCAATTCATCAGATTCTTTTTAGCTTTTATTTGTCCCGCTCCAAGGCATCACAGGCAGCACACTGAAATATTTGTCCTGAAATAGTAGTGATATAAAGCAGTGTTACATTCCTGTGTGTTTTTTATTTTTAAAAAAAAAAAGCATCTCTGCAAATCTGAGTGTTTTTCCTAATGGTGTTTGAGATGGTGTTTTGCACGCATAGTATTAAGAGAAGAGTGTCTGCCTGTGACTGTTCCTCTAGCACAAACTGATAAACAGATGCTGGCAATAACGGGGAAAAAATGTAATTACACCTATTTTTCTTTTTGCATGTTAACTGTGAAGAGTTCAGGTGTGACGTGACTGTTGATATTATTTGATGTAAACATGTGTAATATATTCTAAAATGAGCTCTGCCTCAAAAGCTATCTATTTTGAGTTCCTGATAGCATCTCTTGTTCTTGTCATACCTATGCCAGCGAACTAATAAAGGCCAGTTTTCTGTATGTGTTAACAATTTAGCCTTAAAACACAGCTCTCTGTGTGCTGTTGCTTTTGCTGTTGCAAAATGGTCAAATATTCATTTCACACTTCATTAAAGTAAACCTACTTGAAAGTAATTATTAGGACATTTTGATTTTAATTTGTATTGCTTGTTTTGATACATCTTGCTGCTCTGGAAGCTAGTTACACAGGTGGCTTAAAGCAATCTGGTTATATATTAGTTTTCATGGATATAGCTAGAAGGTAATCAAATTATAAATATGTTAATTTGCAAGCACCCCTTTTATCAAATTTTTAAAAAGTATTTTTTAAATGTTAGTGTCCTTGGCTTATGTACTGACACAGTTCATGGATGAAATGCAGCATTTTGTATGTTGAACATGCAGTGCAGTGTACTTCAAGCAGATGTCTAATACTCAAGGACACTCATGTGTGTTTAATCAGAAAGATACTATTTTAGTGTTAAAGAGCCTGTTTCAGTGGTTTTTCCTTGTTCTCATTAAATTGTATCTTAATGGAAGTATTCATATACTGGAATCTCTGCAGTAAGCTAAGCTGCTATCAAACTAGTGCAATGAGTGATTCTGATGTAATGAGTTGTCATGACAATGGATTCTAAGAATGGCTCCAGGTAAATAACCTTTTTAATGAGTAGAGGCAGAAGCAAGGCACAAGCTCACTGAATGCTGTGTTGGTTCTGATTTAATCTCTTCTACATTTAACCTACTAACAGCACATATTTACTAATATTTGAACATGGTGCCATTACAATACTTCTGCATGTAATTTTTAAGCATTTAGCTCAATAAGAAATTTATTTTAATGATTCATAAAGTTTTTTTTATTGGTGTCCACAGAGCTAGAATCTCTGTGACGCAAAAAGAGGGAAACCATGCTAACATAGTGCATGCATGTCTTGCTCATTTAAGAGTTTATTGACTGGAAAGAGTCAGCCAAGAGTTTTGTATCTTAAAAGCTGTTTTTTTTTCTTTTCTTTTTTTATGTGCGTTTGCTTTTTTTTATGGGGCTATAAAAGAAATCATGTTCTAATGTGTCTGTATGTGTATTGACCCCTACAGCCCTCCTGTACACCGGAGAGATGCGAGTCTGCTCAGATCAGATGAAGAGGATGAGGTGGACAGAGATGGGGGGCAGGCGCCGAGGCAGATCAACTGCGAGGGCTCGCTGGCAGAGAGCTCGTCATAATCCACAGCCTGTCAACCTTGGTTTTTCAGTGACACCAATCGCACAACAGGGACACAGTTCTTTTCTGCTAACTTTATTACTCTTTCCCAGCCAACAAGAACAGAAATGAGGCACACAAAGAATGCTTTTTGTTGAGTAGGTTAGCTTGGGCATTTCATTATCCTCATTGTGGCACACCTAATAACATCATAAAATTATTTTGCTTAAATTATGCTTCTTTTAAGTATTATTTGAAAGAATATTAAAATGAAGGACTATCAGAAGAACCTTTGTGCTGCTGCTTTATTTATAAGAGCTGCTTTTCAGGCATATTTAAGCACCCCTCTGCACTTTTCTGACTTTACAGATAGCTCTGCCAAGAGGATTTAGATAAGCCTGCTTTGGTTTTGGACTTCTTCAAGAAGGTCTGACCAACTATTAAGATTATTCTTATCTTTTCCATTAATGTAGACTACTGCAGTGGGAGGAATTAACCTCTTTTTAATTAATTATCTCACTGCCCGTTTACATATGGCTCTTGTTGCAACTTGAGATATTCATAATTTTAAGAATGTGAGGTTAGCTAATTATTGCTGACAGGAAAAAAAAAACAGACAAAACTAAAACCAAGCTGTTAGGGTTTTAAAGATGACCTATGTTGGAAATTCTGAGAAATGGAGTTAAGTTAAGATTTCAATGTGCATTGATAGTTTAAATGGATATATACTATGTTGAATCAAATGCTTTAGATGCAACTTAGATAAAATTGAATAAAGCTACAAGTATTTTATTGAGATGAAGTTTGCTGTATTTTTGTGCTACTTGAAGTTCAAAGGGAATGCATTTTTTTGTTGCTAATATAGCTTCTTTAAATAATATCCCACAGGAGATTATTCCAGTTTTTGGATATATAATAAAATGAAGTCTGTTCTGATCTCTCCGTTGCTGATTTTACTACTTTAAAAGTGTACGATGAAGATGATCTTTAGAGCATTTTGGGCAAATTGGCTTAAGCAAATAATTCCATACCTTTTTGCTATTTCAGGGTGCCAAATATGACATGGATTATATTCTTATAAATAGTTAATGTTTGCATATGAGAAAAGTTTGGGTTGGGAATGTAAAAGCAGCCCTTAAAATCATATTCCTTTCTTTTATATTGAGGCTCTTTCTCAAAGCTGTCATTTTGAATGTAATTTAAAGGATCATTAGAGCCATATGTTAAAATATCAGCAGCAGGATTTGAAAGATTCTTCCTTGTGTTGGGCTTTTTTCATTCAAAGTACTGCCAAAATACCTTTAATTAAAACCACTCTGCTCATAAAATGTAATACTTGTATGTAATTTCAGATGCACAGAGGTATGAATTGATTTCTTATTGGCATTTTTTTTCTTTTCAGGCACATATGAAAATAACTGAATACTTCTTTATTTAACCTTGGTAATGATATCCTTAGTGTGATGTAATGGATTTTAATGTATGGGCTTTCTGCTCATGCGAAGAAAAGCTTGAAGTGTCTGTCTTACTATTAGCATATTATTTTCTCAGTTTTCTTTTCTATGCTTCAGACATGAATATTAATGTGGAACACAGGAAACTTTGATGTCAGTTTTTCAGAATAGACTTGTTAAATGAAGAAGAAGAAGAAAAAAACCTCCAAGTTGGAGTAACCGACTTTACCAGATAATACTTCAAAACTTTGCACTTCATCGTATCTTTTTAAAAGGCTTGTCTATTTTCATTATTGAACAGATTGCCACATGTTATATGCGTGATCTCAGAGGGATTTTTTTTTTTTTGGCAAATAAATTCTGCTGTTTACAAAAATCTGTGTTGGCTCACTGTAATTGCATAGAGGTATAATTTGGATTCACATTAGTTTGAAATTCACCACTATCAGAAAACAGTTTGAGAAATGGTTACAAAGCAAGGAGGACAGGTTTAGTTTAAGAAAAAAAAAAATCTGATGTCTGATTAATTTTAGCTCATCTGCTGCATGGAAGTGTCTCATCATACCCATCCAGTTTTCCCAGGAGAGCACAGAGGAAACAAGCAATTCATAGAAATGATTAATTCCGAGTAGATGGGGAGGCAGACTGAATGTTGCTCACACTTAATTTGACTGCTGCACATCTACACAGTTCAAAACCAAGCCTTGGGCAAATTCAGGAAGATCAAAAACCTGAGTGCAAGCATAGTCTTCCTTCCACATCAATCTTTATTCTACATAGGCAAAGCTTACCTAGATTCAAAGGGATTGATGGGTTTTAGATTACCACCTTGGTTGACATTCACACACAGTGTGTTTTTGCTTTAAAGAATCCCCCTATTTATCCAACCAATCTGTAATCCTCGCTCCTATACACAACCTGTTCTGCTGCATCACTCTGTGCCAGGGAGCTTTTGCTGTAATTTCACTTCACTTGCGTGCACCCTCCGGATGGCTGCATGTTTCTGCTTAAAGGCTTTCCATTGAGTGACAGATTAAATTCTGCTCCCGATTTTACTTATTTTGGCTCTAACACTGTTTCACAAGCCACTGGAGCAGGAAGTCATTAGCTCAACAAAGCCAAGCAAGTCTGTGTTTACGGTGCCACCCTCCCTGTTATTTAAACAGAGCGGTTAGACCACAGACATTTGCTGCGCTGGAAGTCTAAAGCTGCACCTCCATGGACAACAGTGCCCCATACAATTATATAGCATGCCAGGCTTTTCATTTAGCTTATTAAGTAGAACATCTGAATATTTGTGTTTTCTAGTAACCTTTAAGCATCGCCTTGGATGAATTTCTCTCAAAAATATTCACGGTACCTTCTTGCCTTCCCCAGCAAGATTATGTGCCAGCATGGACAAAGATGCACCTTTTCAAAATGACAAAGCTGATGGAGAGCAGCCAGACACGGTCACAACCGACTCTTAAATAACACTGTGTGCCAGCATCGGCATAAGCAGCTGTGTTCTCAGAGCGTCTTCACATTTTGACCTTGGTTGGAGGCCATCCTGCCAGGCTGTAAGATATGTGGGGGTGCAGTTAGACGGGAGAACATATTTATCAGGCATCATCCTCAACTATTAGTGCTTCCAGTTTCCTGCTGTATGCCTGCTGTCAATAAAGCACTGATTGGAGGCACTGGGACATTGCCTGCAGGGACCAGGTGAGGAGGCTGCATTCATTTGCAATTCTAAGATGAAAAGAAGCAGCAGAGTGTGCTGCTTGGGCGCCTCTCTTTGTTTGCACATATCATTTCCACTCTAATGAACACGGGCAGTAGTGGGGCCTCAAGGCTCAAAGGTAGGTGCAAACATTGTTTACATTTTGCATAGGTCTTCTGTGGGCCTGGGGGACCATTAAAGGATTTTTTCTTCCTGTGTGGGACTTACCAAAAAAAAAAAAAGGCAATGGGGAATCTGTGATTTATTTTGTTTCATGCCCCTCTAATACCTAAGCACGGTTTAAACCCCCCAAACAAATTGTGGGAATCCTTGGAGTGTTAAAAAAAATGTCGCAGCGTCTACCACCAATTTCAATGTCGGATTTCTCCCTCTCTATCTCCACTCCACACTATGCAGGTGGCCAAAGCCTCCCACTGTGCTCAGAACTGTTCAGTGCTTAGTGTCTCTGCCAAAGGAGAGTTGCTACCCCTGCCACTGATGTATGTGTATGTGTGTGTCTGGGTGAGAGGGAAATGAAGTCTTAGGATGTAGTCTACAGCAGTCCACTACATTTAAGGGATTTGAAAATGCAAATGGTCATTTTCTCTCTCTCCACAGCATTTCTCTGTGGTAAAAATGTTAGCAGAGTGTGCTGCTTCACCAACGCTTTGTGCTCTCGGTTCTTCACAGTGATGGGATTTCCTTTGTTTCCTTTCACCTTCTGCTGCAATTATATTTTTTTAGTTCTGCAAGCCTCAGAGACAGATCCAGGGTTGTCCTTAAATCCAAGTGTTAGATGAACAAATACCCACATGGTCGTCTCTTATTTCTTATCTGACTGTGGTTTGCGCATTTTATTTTGCATGTCTTTCTAAAATGATTTGTATACGCAACACCTACTGTGAACTATTCATTTAATGAAAATCTGTTTCAATCATAAGGCACCAAATCACAGCCACAGTCGCCTCAAGGTGCCTTATATAGTAAGACCCAACAATAATAGAATTCAGTGAAAGTTGATAAAATCAAAACATATAAAAACTTAATCAAATACACTCCCCCTCTAATCCGAATCTCTATTTCATAGGTCATAGAGATTGACAGGCCAAACACATTATATGACTCCTGCTTTAATCTTAATGCTTCCTGGGGGTTTTAGAGGTCATCCACAGTCTGACCTCTAAAACTAAGCTTTTTATTTCATCATATCCTGAGTGGAGCAAGCATTTGAATATAATCTTATAAACCTTTTTTTATTTTATTTTAAAATCATGTGTTTGGTTTTGTGCAACGACGACATGCACACAGCAGTAATTTAAATGTCCTGAATCTCTTTCCTCATTTGCTCATTTCTATTGTGAAAAAGCAACTTGATCAACCATATTAATTGTGGCCAAACAGATGGGAGGGTTGACATGGGCGAGGATGGTGACAGAGATTTGCGTAGGAGGCTGCTGGTGTAGCTGTGCTGCTTTCTTACACTGATAAATGCAGTGATAGATTACTAAGTAGCCCTTGAACTCTCTGGAAGGGGCGTTCACTGCTGCCATTGGTGTACCTACAGGCTGTCAGTGTTAATGGGAGGGAGGTGTGAAACCACAATGCTAAATTCCAATTTCCCCATCTCTACATTTGTGAACAGGGGCCTGTTTCTAATAATCCCTACATTTTAGATCCCACTTCCACCCGTCGGGGGGTGTGGCATGTTGTTTCCTGAGAGCTGCTGCTACGCTTTCCCTTCATGGTCAACACATTGCACAGAAGCTCGTCCCCATCCTGAATACGCCTCAATTGACCATCACTAAATTTCTCTAAACACTGTCTTTGAAATCTCCTGCACTGCAAGAATAGTTTTTTTCTTTTCCTCCATGAAAAACGTAAAACTATTTTATCTTTTGGAGTGCTGGGTTTTTTAACTACAAAGGAAATGTGAAAATACATTGTGTTGACTTTACCAGACATGTAAATATATTCTTCAGCTATGTCTTTGCGTGAGTCATTGCACTGAGAGATAAAATGTTCTCTACTTGGTGCCAGCACTTGACAGCTTGGTGGTCTTTACCACCAAACTCACGAGCACTGCAGCTATAAACTGATAGATAGCAGGAATTAACTATGCATCTAATTACAGACTTTATAAGCATAACTCAGTGAGCAGATGGAAGTCACTGGTGTGTTTGGAGTCACTTTATCCAAACCCCAGGAGAGTACACTGCATCATATCCAGAGGAACATATTCCTCTTCGAAGTGAGATTTATTTAAACTAATACAAAAGCCTAGTGGCCATTTGGCTTTGGACTGGTACTGTGTCATTGAGGCTTGGCATGAGCAGAGAAAATGTGCACATCTTTGCTGGAGTGTATACAAGATCTAGTTGGTTGTCACAGCACATATGTATATCGCTGTTGCCAGGTGGTGGATACATCTTAACCCATCGTGAACTGTACAGTAAATGCTACAGTCACAATCAGCTATAAGTGGGCTAAATGTTTCTCACAAGGAACTTATATGCTCTGAAAAACAGAGTTAAATGACATTTTCCATTAGGTAAACAAGACTAACAGTCATTAAATAAAGGCGCTAATAAACTAAAATTAACTATTTGCACACTTTGCTTTCCATGACTCGTGTTTCACATTTGCAATTACCTGTCAAATGTTTTAAAATGTAATTTTCTTTTTTAACTCTCAGGATGTCTGATGTTTGCACTGATATTTTTCAGAGCTTTGGCTTTTCATTTCTGCAGTAATTGAAAGGAGGACACTTTCACTCAAACCCAATCCCTGAATCTGAAGACGTGATTTTATTTTCCATTTCATTATAACCCTGGAGAAACTGGGGTAGGCAATTTGTGGCCACAGCTGATTGGGAGATCTTAAACTGTTATTCAAAGATGAGAACCAATCAACATCCGCTGGTGAGGTATTTAATGGAGATAAGGTTCTGAATAGAAATTGGAAAATGCATAAAGTGGCAAAGTGGTGCCTGGAACATATCCTGAGATTGACAGGCAGACATTGAATGAGTCGGGCAGGATACTAATGTCTGTCCTGTCATTTGGCCTTCCCTTTTAGCAGGCTCCATCTCACTGTCCGTGTGGGACTAAGTCTGAGTGACAAGCCACTGACATTTACAATCTCTGGGCCTCAAAGTGTGGGCAAGCATGCCCGTGCTGAAATGTGATCACACTGGATGGTCAGAGTCATTAGTGAATCATGTTATGGCCCCGCATAGACTGCTATTACGCCCCTCCCCAGTTGATGGTGTTTTTTCTCTAAACTCTAATGCAGCTTTTGGTGTTTAATTATATTACTTTTAGTACAAGGTCATCACAGAGCACTACCTTTGGGTGAGATAAAGATTAAATAAAATACAAAAGGACACTTGAATATTTCATGATTGGCTGTTAGCTGTTCACAAGTTCAAATAAATAATTTAATGATGTAATGAAAACATGGCACTGACATAACTAAACTCAAAGATATTCTCAGAATATCTACCTATTACATTTAGCACTCATAAAACCTTAGAGACGCAGTGGTGAAAGGGAACCATACTGTGCCTAAGCTACATTTTTTAAGCATTTCGGTTGTGTGAGAATATTGTCCTTGTGTCTCTGTGCAGTAGCTAAGTAATGACAAAGTCAGCAATGTTGCTAGGAGACTTAATGTCC